ATCTAATTTAGTATTATTGTACGCTATGTACTTTATCAAATATTAAAATCAGGATATCCAAATCAGCATTTATAATCATCGATGCATCGCTGCAAAGGATTGACTGATTCGATGTTGATACTATTCAAAATCAATTCGATAAACAATATGAACCAGGCTATTCCTCTTTCTAAAAAAAGTCATTTTACTTTTATGTCATAACAATGTTGAAACTAAACTATTTTCAAGTATGGTGCTATTAAATGTTCTCACTGGACAATGCGTGATTGGATCAAGCCATAGCATCCTGCTACTTTATCTAATAATAGCCTCAATACAAAATTAAGCCATTATATTGTCCAAGGTAATAATCACATTCATGATGATGGCATCAATCTATCTTATTCGTCTAGAACTTGTGATATTCAAAAGCATTATCACAATACATTATACAAATTGCCTATTATTCAAGGATAAATCAGGACATATTCCTGTAGATCAATTGACAATTTTGACTCAATAATACAATTACCAGAATTATGCCGGATCATAATAGCCGATCTGTTAAATATTAAGCGTCAAAACGCGTGTCAATAAATCGGAAAGTATCACCTATCAATATGTCTACCACTCAACTTAACAAAACTTATCCATTTTGTACTGGATATAATGGATTATCGCTAACTATTTCACTAAAAGAACTTTTAACTTTGTGCTACTATCAAACTTTTACTGCCGCTGGTTTATTATTACTTTCTGCCTTGATTGTCTTAATTCAAAGTTACTTTTCAGCTTGTTGGCCGAATAGAACGAATCAACAACAAAGACAGCAAATAAAAGCAATCCGATTATGTAACCAAATTTTTCTTGCTATTGGTATACTTATCTTGTTAACTTGGTTCGTTTCAACCATTTTGTCTATCTTTACCGGTAAGTTGCAAACTAAAGTCATTGGCCTAAGAATAACGCCGAATGACTTATTAACTTGACTACCGTATTTTAAAGGTTTACATGACAGCAGAACAATTTGGAATGGATTATTATATTGTATTGTCCGCTTGCTGTACGAACCTTCTTTTTGACTGTCAATCTTTCTCAGTTAATAATCTTGCAATGCAGAAATTGTATTCACTACTATTTACTTTATCAATTACAGTTGCTTTTTCATCAAATGTCTTACTACCATAATCTTAGTCTATTAGTAATGGCTTTCATAACAGAAACAGAGCATCGAATCTGCCGATACATGCATGATAAACAAAATTTTCCGCCACGTCGATATATATCCTTAGAAATGAAAATACTGACAAGCCCCTCTAAACAGTAACTTTTGACAGTGGCGATCTCTGTTTTATTCTATGGTGGAAAGTAATTCGATTGCTGTCAATTTATTTTCAGCAGTGGCAGAATTGACTACCGTGACAATGATCTTGCTATCAAGTTTATATCTTTCTCAACGATGCTTGTTTTTGCAATCAGAAAGAACTTCCGATAAATTACCTTTTAGGGCGGGTAGTGTCTTACATAAAAATGAATGATAAATATTAGGTTAATTATGAATTGCGTTCAAGTTTAGGATTTTCCTTATCGTTGCCCTATAAATCTTGGTATTAGGTAGCGCTTGTATCATTTATGAATATACATTTATTTTTAAAACTATTGTATGATCGTAAGTAACGAAATGCATGTTTAATAGCTACAGTCTCATAGTGATCATGATATTCAAGTAGATTCAATTCAACAACAGGCTGACAAAAAGAAAGAATAATAATCTTAACCCTTTCGTAACTACCTTTTAAGAGGATAGCCGTTCATGCCAAAAACGAATCCAGGCTAAAAGTAATTTTTACAATACTACCAGGCGACTTAATTCTTTAATGTAGGCCATATTTTAGAAAGGCAATAATGAATATTATTGCTAATCTCATGAGTTAAGAGTGGTCTTGACCAAAGTAGCTACTGTAGGAGGTAGTAACTCTCCTAACCTAATTATAAGACATTAATATAAGTTTTAAGATATTTAATGATTTGATTATCCCCTTCTAGAGAGTATAAAAAATTAGCGTAAGATGAAATGTCACCGATATCGTTACTCAAGATCTGTCCCTATAGCTATCAATCGATCAATCAAGATGATAGTTACACTAGAAATGTTGAAGTAATCTGTTATGCCGTAAAATATGATGTTGAGAATATAGAAATTGATCAAAAGTTGCATCTTTAATTCCTACGAAGACTAATAAGGACACCCAACTATCTGCATTGATACCCTTCACAATCTAAAATGTTAATCCATACTTTAGTGCTATCAATTGAAGGAATAAATTATGCTTACTTACAGAATGACAGAATACGGTAGTCACTTACTTAGGATGCCAGTAAGGTTATTAACTTGAAGTTATAAGATTTGGTTTAGGATCATCCTTTCTTTTTAACAAAAAAGTTTCTCGAAAAAAGACAATCTATTTTCTAAGGACCTAAGTAAAGATATAACAAAATTATAACATCTGGCAACTTTATTAAATTACAGTTTATCTTGGACACAGTACTTATTACTAATTATTATAATAAGCAGAGGATTCCGTATTATAAAAATAACAATTTAAACTACTTCTTGAGGGTAATATTCTAGTTTATATGTCTTTATTATATGCTACCTGCATTTACGATACTCTGCTCAATAAATAACAATTAAGCCAACTGGAATGCAGCGTAAAGGCACAATACTAGTGGATTACTGTTTCATGTAAATTTTAGCGACTTAGTATATGAGATATTAATTATCAAATGATTAGAACTTAATCCCCCTGATTTTGATATCCATTTACTGGAAATATATAATCAGGTCATAACTGATACAGCCGGTATAGCTAGGATTTTGGATGTGTACATTTTATAGATGAACAATATTGAACGATTCTATAAAATGATGTAGCGGAAAGTGTCAAGATTTACCTGATGTTTCATACAACGATAATTTTTACGACGTTGTTATTGCTAAAAACGATAGTACAGTAACATAGCAAGAAAATAAAATTTATCGGTAAATTTGATAGTCTTACATTTCAATTAATTATATATTATGGATGTTAACTTGAACAACTGATATATTTACTTCTTATATCCGAAATATTATGATATCTTACTACTTTGACGAAGAGAATTAACTTTGTTATATTTAGAAAGGCTTTTATCTGTTTCATATCTCGATAATGGGCATAAATTTATTTCCGTCCAGTTAGAAATATTACTTTGTTATCGTTAACCTAGATGACAGACAATTGCCAGCTGATTATGTTGCAGTTAATGTGGCATGTACAAGCTTAGGATGGCTAATTATCTGGCAGGCTTACCGAAGAGCACGACCAAGAATGCATCATTGCTTGCAAGTATTACCTTTCCTCATCTTCGTTATAGCCGTACTGACCGTTGATACTTGCTACTTTACGCTCAATGATATTTCGGAATGGTGGTGGCAATTCAATAGCGAAGGTAGGAACTTAGCATGATACGATATAAAGTAGACTTTCTTTCATAGAAGATTATAATGATGGGCTGTATTAAATAATATCCTAACATAAATCTTCTAATATTAAAATTTTTAGGCTGAGTGACTTTATTTTATTACCATTTTTATCTTTAGGCAAAGTAGCATTGGCTATTTGTTTTGCTATCCGCTACATAGCTACTCTACTTGCCTTACTACCATTGATATATCATAGTATATTATTATTTCGACAAAGAAAATCTTTTGATTACAACTCCATTAATTTACAAGACCAGAATTATCCTCTATTAGTAAGTAATATAATAGTGTTCAATTTCGGTATTTGATTAGCTATTTTTCCGATCTAATATATCAATGATGAGAAGCAGTCAAATTCAGATATATAATACGCGTTGTTCTGTTCCATTTTATTACAAAGCTGAATAAGGTAATATATCGATATTGTTTCATAATAATTACTTTAAATTTCGACTGTATCGATGTAGAAATACTGCCATTAATTGTAGAACACAATAAGATCAGCTAAGTTGTATAGCACAGTAAGTATATAATTATTTATCAGCCATGAAGGGTAATAACTGTTCATACTGAATAATATGCATGACTAGTATTGCGGATCATAAAAATTTTTGATAGCGTAGTAAATCTTACTACTGTATATGAGAAACAAGCATGAAATTAACATACACTATTACGTCAGCAATCTTGTGATACCTCTGCTTTGCGTTGTTTGAAATCCTTATTATAATGATACTTTGTTATATTTAATCATCTAATTATGGCATTCATGACGTACAATAATTTTACTGCATGCTAAGTTGAGTAATTGGTGTATTACAACACTATATTTTCGTTAATAAGGCATACTATTAATGAAATGGATAGAATCAATGGACATGGACTAAGCCGTTAGAATAAAATATCTTATGATCGACTAATTGTAAAGCAAATATGTGATATTCATTTTACCTCTTTAATTCTTAGCATGAAGAGCTGGAAACAAATCAACAGCAAGAATCGTTAAACCACCGTATCCAAAATGTGCTTAAATTTTGGTATCCAAGGCTATTTTCGTACGTTATAATTAATTTGCAATAGATTATTATGAGAACAGAACCTACTATGATGAACTCCTATTTTTAGTAATACTAGAGTTGCAAATCTAATCACACTAACCCCTTCATGTCTAATATTCTTCTTTGTAGGAGCTATGTATACATCATGATGTGTATTATTTTGGTTCTGTTGGAGCGAGCAATTAATCTTTTAGCCATGATATATGTTAAACTTATTGGTAATTCTTTCAGTTAGAGCTAGCTTATGATCATATATTTATACTGATCTGTTGTTTATCGATTTTAAGTATTCTAATAACAAGTAATGAAAATGATATAAATTGATTATATCTACTCAATTACATCTGCAATCATCACTAACTTTATTCTTGTAAAATCTTATCGATCTAGTGGATAGCGTAATAGATTCCAGTAAAGCGCAAATTTTAATTAAATACATGGCTATTTTAGCGACGTGTAAATTCCTTCTTAACGGTAGTGATGGTAAGTAGAAACAGATGGTCCAGATTATTAAAGTATTGCTAGCAAATATACCAATGAAAATTTAATATCTACTGTTCTTAATCGTATAACATCCATTCAATAGATACCATTTCTATTGATAATTGTTTATAACTTGTAATACTATGAAATCAGATCGGTAAAAGCAATTAAATTTAATATGCATTCTACTTTGATTCTTTGATATAATACTGTTTAGGAAGAGTTGGATTAATAACAAATATACGAATATTATGCTGGACTAAGTTAAGGCATTCCGTTTTAATGTCAACTCAAGTGCAAATATTCAGTTGTGTCCAACAGTAAGTTGCTATTCATAATATAACTTAGCTATATTTTAACAGGCTGCAACTCTAATTAAGAGAGCTCACAAAGATTTATTCTTGACTTGTGGATCTATAAAAATTAACTGAATGAACTGTTGTACTATTTAGGCAATCTTATTATTGGTTCATTAATTTAAGCAATCGAGAATTAGCAAGCAAGGCAGCGGATATCATTTATGGGCTTAATAGTATATTTGATGTACTGGAGTACGTGATTATACACCACTAAACTCATAGCTAGATCTATTTAATTCGTTTAAAATTAGTATACCATAACAGCTGCGTCATGTTATTATGCACAGATCAGATGTAGTTCAATATTTTTAACTAGATTGGATTTCGAATACTATAAATACTAAATCAAAGCATTCTCTTTTATAGGCAATTTTGTTTTTTTATTGTTCCGACGATTTGTGATATTATACTTATGGTCTTATTTATTTCTACGACAATAAATGCCTGGATTGGTTGTACTTTAATATATTTTATTTTACTATATTATGGTGAGCCAATACCTATTGAAACTTCTTCTTTTTTTAATTGTTCATGATGTAATCCTTAAAAGAGTAGAGTCTCCTATTTAACCTCAAACGTTCTCAAATTACAAGAGCAGCTTACTACCATCAACTTCTAATGATACATTTTATATAGTTTCTGTCAGGGTTGGAAATATCTATTATAGCAAACAATATCAGGAAACTGTTAAACATAATCATCAACAGAAATCGATAGCCATTCATCTAATGACAAACTATGAAACAGTAAGTCAAAGAATATATTTTAAATAACACAGACTAGTAATAAGCATACTGGTTATACTCTGGTAACTTAGCTTTTAACTAACTCGTTAATGTGGCAATTCTCGATGAATAATAAAATCCATTAGGTGCAACTAAATTGCAGTGAAGATTCTGAGATTAAACGCTTACATCATGCAATTGCTGAAAACCAGGTATAAAAATCTAGAATAATAATACGTATATTTTACTTTATTATATTTAACACTAAATCCTGACTATCTCTTTCATGCAATTCATATAGTCTGTATTTTAGAGGTTTCATAATTACTTACTTGTGAATTATAATTCTTTGGTATACAGCATTACGCTATTCTATTTAGTGTAGAATCTAAAAAACTTGACTTATCTAAATTTTATACGAAATGCCATACAGTAATTATGAATTTTATGTCCTTATACTAAAAGAAAAGTAAATATGCACTGCTGCTTTTAACCCTGAATGCAATCATTTATAATTAAAACAATTGATTCATACCTCGCAAACTTTTGATAGGCTTCATCGTGGAGGATGACATTTACTGCTTTCTGGACTCATTCAATACAAAGTTTGTTGGCGGTATTAGGATTTTTCTGCGGCGGCATAGCGACAATTAAACTGATTCTATTGACACAACTGACGGTAATTAAAATCAATATACCATCCATTAAACGATTAATTTAAAATAACCGAGCTATCTCTGATTCTCCAATAATTATGATTTTTACTTAGGTTGGTGATTTAGTCTTGTTTATTATCTATTTGGAAGTCATATATTCCTGTGTTAGAACATTAATTTCAAATTCCAGGTTTGCAACTGCTCTATACGGGATTACTAGAAGCATGCTATGAGATTTTACTTTCGAATAAAAAATACAGATGTAATATTTATAGAGAATTTTTTAAACTATAATTGATCATAGAAATCGTTTCGAAAATTATAGTTTTATTGCCAATATTATCAGTTTTTGCAGCAAATTCATCATTTAATAGTCGTAAATTTATAAAAATTTTAAAAAGTAGTAGTTGTAGTACCAATCCAAACTACCAACTAACAATTTTAGCTTGCAATAGTCAATTAACTAAGTCCATCATGACCAGAATACAGCAATATTTTACCAGTAATTATAACTCAACTTATAATTTTGGGTGGCTTAATATTCTATTCAATAATTTATAGTTATGGCCAAATCCAGGATATTAATAGGTTGTTTACAATTTTACAAGATCTCCTGAAGGTAACTAAAATAGTGTGGTATGAATGGATAATTCATGTTTAAATTAATTAGCCAATTTATAAAGATCTTTTTCTAGAATTCATAATTGATCATGTAACTTAAAAACATAATTTATAATACAGTGATGAATTTTTGCCTAATGAATACTGTATAAAAAATTTAAAGGATAACAACTACAAAGAACTGCCTGACTTAGAGGCTCATCAAGATGGCATCAAAATGGAAAATGTATCATCTCGACCTAATCGAAAGTATTTACGTATATATTGTATTTTTAACCTTTAAGATTTATTATTATAATATTTTTCTAACCATTAGTACATCTAAATGCTAATCAATATTGTAATTTTATCTGGTTGTAATTATTATCATGAATAGATATCCAGCTATAGAAAATGTCTCCCTTCAAGTCCTATATCAGCAGACTTTAGCATTAGTTGGTTTAGTATAACTATACCATCGATATTTGGAGATAATATTGATCAATATATGATTACTATTTCTGTTATACAAGCCACTATGTATAATTTTCATTGGTTTTGGTTTAGGTGGGGTCACCAACGAGTGGTAAAGATGCGATTTTAAAGTTGATTTATGGCTGGCACCCTTTACACCAAGGAAAAATTACGGTCCTAGGAAGGAATATCCAATTGGTAAGTCTCCTGTCCGAAGTCGGTGATTAGTGTGTAGATACTATTATTTACTACCAGAACTTTAAGCAGGCATAAAAGTTTGCTTTAGATTTTGCCATTTCAACAAGGCTAGCATTTGTTAACATAGATTTACAAATGATCCAAAACTTTGCATGATTCATAAGTAATAAGTTCAGCACGGATACTTTGAAGCCTGTTTACAGTAAATCCTTCCTAAGTTCTTAATCATCATTTTAGAAACTAAAGTAAATCATAAACAGCATACAATGTGTAGGAATATTAATCATCTAGGATAGGGAGAGAGAATAGAATTAGTCTTAAGCAATTCTATCAACACTACTTTAAATATTAAGGTAAACTGGAAGTCTTTGCGAAGGAATATAGGCTATATACCAAAGGAACCGAAACTCATTCAAGGCACTATAAAGTACGAATTAAATAGCAATATCCATGATTTTTAGACCGTAAAGTATTGCATAGGACTACCATTTCGTCCAACAGATGCATAATATTACCTATGTTATCCGACTAGACACAACGTCAGTTATGGGTGTTCTAATAAATCTGAAGGAGAAATTATCCGAGCCTGCGAGCTAGTCGGTATACATGAAAAACTAATATCACTGCCAGAAGGTAACCGACATCTATTAAGAATATAGCTAATGAGTAAATCGGTTTAAATCTTGATGGAACTTTATGTAATATGATATAAATTTGGGGATGATTAGGTTATGACACCCTAATTGGTATAGATGAGTTAAGATTTAGAGTTGAAGATAGAGTTAAAATTGCCATTGCTAGAGTTATTTTGAAAGATCCGGAAATTGTTCTGATCGAAGATCTCTCAGAGGTATAATTTTATACAGAAACAGAAATAAGGGAGTTATACATAGTATGGAATAATGATCCTCTTGAAAGCAATAAGTATATGTTTAAAATTCTATTCGTATTAGTCATGCAAAATTACATAGCTAAGAAGAAAGGAATTTTACTGCTTATCGTTTTCATTCAACTAATGTTATCCTTGATATAAATAGACAATATTGAATCTCGATGATAAATCTTGGGATACTATAATTCAACCTTTATGTACGCTCTTCAATGAAAGGACTGTCGTCATAAGTACTAATAGGTACAAAATTGTGCTTGCGTTATAAATTTATAATACAATATCCGCTTTAGATGACTAATTTGGATTGATCATATATATTTGATATTTAAAAGAAAATTTCTAGGACTATTACTAGTGTAAATTTTAGTAACTTTTTAATAAGGTGCACTAAATATAGATTCTGCATTTATCTATACACCATTAAAGCAATATTTAATCACAGAACCATTTCAAAACTTAAATTATTGATATTGTAGATTGGAATTCATTCAGAAATGCGATAATATTGTGGTTATAAAAGACGGTAAAACGATAGACGAAGGAAGGTAACAACTATGAATTTTAAAGATATTTCGGTCTAGAATAATTTTTGTAATTTGTAATAATATTACGGTGATGTTTGCGTAAAAGTAAATTTGATGTACTAGAAATATTATTACACATTTTACAACAACTGCTTATATAATTTCTTTCCTATATACAGTATATTCAATTTTAAGTAAACATTACATATTTCTCCATTGGCTGAGCATCACTTAATAGCGTTTGCTTTTGTTTTTACAGACACAAATACTTAAGGGCTACAAATCTATACTACCGAAGTCTAGTTAGATAGTCTCTTCGGGTCAAATTGGATTGAACAAGATAAATTTTACGCCAATTATAGTAGTATGATAAAGTGTTTACGTCTTGTATGTCAACACTTATTCGCAGTCTAATCCAATAATTCTGATAGTATAGTGTAGATATCTGCTGTTAAAATAGTATTATATTCGCAGTAGAACAGTTATCACAACATTTTATTCTTTCGAAAGAGATTTTTCTTTTTAATCAATTTATTGTAGCTATCACTGGCATAAGTTTGGGTTAAAGTCTAGGGATATAATCTCAATATCTGGTTCAAATTAGCAATATCAATTTAGGAATATGTTTGGCATGTGATGCACCCTATACATACAGTATATATATTACTTATATATACAGGTATACCTCTATAATCTAATGTATTTGGCTTAAATTAGCCATATCAATTTAGGATTGCGTTTAGCATATGATGTACCCGCATATATACATATACAGAGTATCTTGCATGCGATTATGCTATCGTGTTTATCCACAGTATCGTATTTCATCGGCCACATTATTGTCAAAAATACGGTGCATAAAGATTTATAGAAAGGAATTAAAATTAGATCATTTATATTGGCGTCTGTTATTTCTGTATATTATCAGTAACATTTAATGTACTATATACACTTTACACTGTGAGTAAGCTGAAATATTATGTAGTCAAGTAATATTGTTTCTGACTTTTAGAAGTTATCACAACAATAGATGGCTCACTACTCAAATCAAGGGTAGAACTAGCTTCTAGATGGTTTTTAAAAGGGGCAATTTTTTGCTAAAATAAAATGATCTATTAATCAAGTTATAGAGTTTTGGATATTTTGCAAATTAGCAATGTAGATATTGCTTTTTCGCGTGAAAGGTACAGAATGCAGCGTGTTATAATGCAACTAGATCACATATATTTCAATATTGCATCTTGCATAAGCTACTGTTCATGACGCAGCGTGATTTCCGTCTAATATTATTATTATAAACTGCCTTCGACATGGCTTTTGCTATTATTTATCTTCTTGAAAGAGTAAATGTTGTAAAATTGGAATGAGACGTTAAGAACCTTTCTACAATTTCTACGCCGCGATTATTCAGTTTATAATGCATTTTAATTGTAGAATAATTTATTGGAAATTTTCTACTACTGTACAGAGACTTCTAAACACGACCTATCGAATACTATTGCTGCTGTCTCTTAAAAAAGTATATACTGTACTTGTTGTAAATTGTAATGAGATATTAAAAAAAACTATATATTTCTACGCAACGAATATCCAGTTTACAACGTATTTTAATGGTAGTAGATTTATTGGAAATGTTTTACTACAGTGTAGAGACTTGCAAACACGATCTATCTACAAGTATTACTGTAGTCTTTCGAACAAGTATATACTGTACTTGTTGTAAAATTGGAATGAGACATTAAGAGCCTTTCTACAATTTTTATACCTCAAATATCCAGTTTAGAATGCATTTTAATAGTTTATACTTTACTGGAAATGTTCTACTACTACGTAAAGACTTGCAAACACGATCTATCTTATACTATTGCTATAAAATGTTGCAAATGTAAGATATACCATATGTCCAATTCAAGTCCAGTATACCGAAAGATGAGAATTCAAATAAGCCCCAATTGCATTAGCATTCCCCTTGATTTCTAAATAACAAGTATTATAATGAATTGGTAGTTTATATAGTTAATAACTTATATTGTATTATTATTATAGTATTATTATAGATGCTACGCTATAGTATTATTAGTATTAGTATTAGTATGATACTCTAGTTAATAGCTATAGTATCATAGTATTATTAGTATTAGTATTAGTATGATGTTATAGTTAAACGCTATAGTATCATAGTATTATTAGTATTAGTATTAGTATGATATTCTAGTTAATAGCTATAGTATCATAGTATTATTAGTATTAGTATGATGTTATAGTTAAACGCTATAGTATTATGGTCTTATTAGTATTAGTATTAGTATGATATTCTAGTTAATAGCTATAGTATCATAGTATTATTAGTATTAGTATTAGTATGATATTCTAGCTAATAGCTATAGTATTATAGCATTATTAGTATTAGCGATAGACTGCTATAAAGTGTCCTAAACAAGCCTTTAGCTATACTATTGTTATACAACATCCAAAACATGACTTTATAAATACAAAGATAATATGACTCCAGTCCAAAAAAATGGATTGCTAATTTCAGCTTAGTCATGGTGACAAAGCATTCCAAAGATTTCTATACATTCTATGATAATACAGCACGGCAGAGAGATTAGATATGAGCGATAGTATTACATTATACCCTACCTTAGCACAGCCAGCCATATAAAGTATTATACCCTGCTGATTCAATTGATCTAATCCATACTGTTTACTAGCCATTGATAAAAGCTCGTTTGCTATAGTAAAAGGAAAATTCAAATTTCCCCGGTTGATTAATTAATTCATTAATTAACATCTCAAGCTAATTAATCTTTATCATTCGCCTTCAAGATGGCACGCAATATATTTTGTAGCCGCAATGATCCTTTTACACCAGTATGGGTTGATTTTGGTTTGTCAGTTTGTTTCTATAGAGTAATCGCAGGCTGTATATTACTCTTTCTTTCCTTTATCGTTGGAACTGGTTACTGCATTCACTTACGAAGGCGCTATCATGGCAAATCGAGCAGTAAAATTCCATCGTCATTTGCTTACAAACTGCAACATTTAGTCGCTTTGGCCATGGCATTTATCAACGTTGCTTATATCATCATCCATGCTATCATCGGTAAGGTACAAGTCATATTGTTGACGACTGTCATACCATTGTAGCTATGGGTAATTAGTAGTAGCCATGACCGCCATCATTGAACATGATGGGTAATATCTACTTTTTATGCAATGCCGGCTTTTCATCCATAACAGTAGTAACCTTCTACATTCTTTCGCAAAGTGATGAGATCACATTATCAAGGGATTAGACATACTACTAGACAAGTAGAAATCGATGGATAGGTTATGTACATAGCTTTTAGTACATAGCAAAGAATGGCACATATGCTAAGCATGGATGATGTCTTTCCATCAATACATCCTTATTGACTACATCGTATCGCCATAGCGGGTATATTGAATACTTCAATGTTAAATTATACAGTAGTAGATCACATTATCAAGGGATTAGATATACTGCTAGACAAATAGAAATCGATGGATAGGCTGTGTACATAGCTTTTAATACATAGCAAAGAATGATACGTATGCTAAGCATGGATGATATCTTTCCATCGATACATCCTTCTTATTGACTACATCAAATCGCCATAGCGAGTATATTGAATACTTTAATGTTAAAGTATACAGTAGTAGATCAATGATTAACTATGCCAAGTAACTGATACTTATGAATTTTTCTGACAGTTGATATATTAATTACTCTTTGTATAAGATACTGCACTAAAAATACACAGTAAGAGGCTTCTCTTGTACACTTGTAACTGTAGTTCTGTAATGTGCTCCATACTCGTCATTCAAATTGATATTGCACCTGTGACTACAAGGAGGCAATTAGGCAAGCTATCATGTGAAGATCCCAAGTCGATAGTTTTTTTTACTCTTGAGTAACAATAAATCGTGCAAAACATGGATAGCATTAGGTGCGGAATCACCCGTTTATTCATCAATTGAAGTTCGACACAGAGATGACTTCATATCGGACTGTAGAGATAGCTAGTCATACAGCACGTATAGAAGAAAAACGGTTTCAACAGTTCTTGCGATTTACACTATAAAACAATAATTAATGAATTCAAATGGCTAGAAATTCAGGCATTGATGGCATATCTCATAACGAATTACTGTACAAATTAAATACACAATCGTACGAAACATCGAGGAGTAAACACAAGTATTAATTATCTCGTACATTGTATGGCTGTGCAGTTATTGTAGCATTAAATTGAACTGATATCATGCATGGGCATGAAAGTTAATTTAGTCTATTTTGTTAGATTAGCTAAAGCAGTAATTTATATCACACAGCACGAAATTAAAGACAGATATCATGGGCCAAAAAGATAATCCTGTACTGTATAGAAACAAATAAATTGCAATGCTTGCTATGATAAAAAGCATCTGAGTAACATCCAGCATTACGAGTACCATAAGCAAACACACACAGAAGGTACATTGATTTTTGCTGTTAAATTCAATCAATACTGTGCCACTTATACACTTGCAATTTATTGTAGTAAGACTAAATTAGATAAAGTGTAGATGACATCGTACTCATGCATGAATAATTGATAACGAATTATGCATGTTCAGCCAACTCAGTTAAGTATAGTTTGCATTATGACCTGTGCTAGGTATAGATTAATTCGATGGATTCTAGACAGTCAAGAAAGCTAATGTTTACGGTTGTAGATGAAGCTGTAATGGGATCAGAAAGTACAATGACAACTTCAACCACTCATCATATGATCAAGCTGATACATAATTGATAATCCCATAATTAATTTACTAATATGACTTTAAAGTGACTGCGGTACCAAAATTTTTCGGTAATTTATTAAATAGAAACGACTGGCAGGCTACCTCCTGATTATATTATTGTAGCTGCTTGCTTAAGTTTCTTGGCATGGACTTACTCAATGCTAGTTATGAAGATTGAAAGATCTTACATTTTGCGATCTAAAGCTACAAGACATGGATGGCCATTATTTCTATTCTGGTTGACTGCCTTTGCTTTGGAGAATATAGCATTCATATCGTGGAAAAGCCCTCGATGGTGGTGGCAAATGAAGCGAAGCAGTAAGTATGACAAGTTCGGCTCTCATAATTATTATACAGTACTACGCTATAATGTCCTAGATTTTGATCACGCCTCAATATAGTTATACGCGAATATATCTGTATTGGGCTTTGCATTTATTTGTAATATACAGTAGTGCGCTAATATCATGGCGGTGACAATCGATTGCTAGTACTCGTAATAATTGCAATTTTTTTCTCATTTTTTAGTCGATATTGCCGATTTATGCGTCTTCATTTTGAAATATATCGGTGCATTTTTATCTCTCCTCCTTGGCTACCACGGTGCTGCCTTCAGTATTATGCGTCGTGGAGCACGCTTTGCACTATTAGTCAACGCGGATGTCGATGAGGTAAGATAATTATAATAATTATTGCAATTGTGAATCGGGCAAATTAAGCGATCATAACTAGCTCTACTTTACTGTTCTTACATTTATTAATTAATGCATTTAATGTTACGATGTAAATACTATGAGAGACGGTACTGCAAGATTAGTGTAATTTCGTTAGCCACTATACGGCTATTGAATCCTTTATATATTCAGACTGAATGACCATACTTACACTTAAAATAAATTAGCTATATTGGCTTCTTAATTGGATAGACGAGGTATGGCAGTGATTAATTAGTTATCAAAGAAATGATTGATAAATAGTGATATTACGAAGTAACCGTTACGTGTGACTAAGAATTCCTCATTGCGATCCTAATCATGGTTGTTTCGATTGAAATCATCACCATTTGTAATAAATTCTACTGTAATTCACAATTATTATAATTACCTTTAGTAGGTTTTGTAAGCTTCTACTATTTGTTCATATCATTCTTCCGCAAGAAGTAAATTCTGCTCTATGTTGTATCGTTGCATATATGTTAATCACTATTGCATTTACGTTTTGATAGGATAAAGAGGACGGGAATATAACATCAGAGTCGAAATCGACGTTTAATGCTATCAGCACTAAATTTAAGATGTTATGGCCGTATGTATGGCCTAAAAAGAACAAGTAAGTTTTGCATTCGCATTTTATATTGCTACGAAAGCCACGCTATCAATATTAATGGATTGGTTTGGTATGTAAGTGAAGTAAAATTTTATAACTGGATAATACTCTTCTCATTGCATCTAGGAGACTTCAATTCCACGTTGTATTATGCTTTATCCTCTTGTGTTCTGTGAGAGGAGTCAATTTATTGGTACCATTATATTACAAATATATTGGTAAGTTAAACGTTTTTAACAAATATTTGTTATTGTATAGATTTCTCTATCATAGTAACTTGAAACGTTAATGGTTTTCTCAAATCGAATTTTTATAGTAAATGCCCTTACCGGGGTTCATGGTAAAATTTTAATGCCAACCGGGTTAATTTTCGCGTATGTTGGTTTCAAGTTTTTACAGGGAGGAGGAGTAGGTAGGTTTACAGATAATGCCTACATGATTACATATTAAATTTGATCTAGAAATTTATTCTTATAATTGATGTAACATTATATTTGGCGTTACATTCAGGATCAATGGGCTTTGTAAGTATTATTCGTTCATTTTTATGGATTCGTGTTCAGCAATATACAACAAGAACCGTGCGTGTAGAATTATTCGCTCATCTGCATAGGTAAATAGATTGAACTGTCAATTAAACGATTGAAAAGACTTAAGTTTAACTAAGAATACAATTATTTTCATTAAAAGCTTATCCTTACAATGGCATTTAAATCGTAAAACTGGTGAAATCTTACGTGTTATGGATCGTGGCGCTAGCAGCATTAATACGCTACTGAGGTACAGCATAAATATCAAGCATCAATGTTCGCTTCAATCAGTGCGATTATTAATGGAAGTTTTACTATTTATATTATCTATAGTAATGTCATTTTTAGCATCCTTCCAACAATAGCTGACATCATTATAGCTATCATTTACTTCATACTGGCCTTTAATGCTTGGTTTGGCGTTATCGTATTTTTCGCCATGGTATTGTATCTGATTGCTACGATATATATAACTGAATGGCGAACAAAGTTTCGCCGAAAAATGAATAAGCTGGATAACTCTTCACGAGCTAAAGCTGTTGATTCCTTAATAAATTTCGAAACTGTAAGCAGGTCAATTTTAATTAATTTTTTAGCTATGGTATGAAATCAGTTTTACATCCTAAATAAAATTATTTCAGGTAAAATATTACGTTGGAGAGGAATTTGAGGTTGACAGATTTAATTCTGCGATTGTTGAGTATCAGGTGATACGATAGTAATCAATTAAGATTAATATCATTTTTTACCCGAGATATTACAAACTGTCTATCCAAAAACTAATAGATGTAAATCTTTTGCTTTCGCCAATTTATTTTCATTAGAGATCTGAGTGGATTAGCCTAGCCTCATTGCAATTATTAAACCTTTCACAAAGTATCATTATAACTTCAGGACTTTTGGCTGGTTCTTTACTTTGTGCGAATCTTGTAGCGGAAGGATCCTTGAAGGTAATACTGGTTATGGTTCTACGTACTTTTACACTAATACGTGTAATATTAACTTCCAAAGTTTAGTATACCTCTCCGCCTATGAGCGTGTACATTCATTACGATACTATTAACTCATTATATACTCAAATTAAAGTTTGTTTTCTGTACGGTCACGTACCAATCCCTAGGTTGGCGACTATGTGCTATTTGCTACTTATATAGTGCAACTCTATGCACCTCTGAATTACTTTGGGACATACTACAGGTAGCGTAAATACTGTACTAGGCTGATTATTTTTCTAAGCAGATTTAGCAGTGCTTTTAATTATTTTATACTGTCGTTGACTTTTGAAATTATAGAACTATACAGCAATCATTTATTGACATGGAAAATATGCTTGATCTAATGAAAGCTGAAGTAGATGTATGTACTTATTAGCATGTAACGGAATTTGCAAAACGTTAAATATCTTATTATTACGATGTACTTTGTACTAACATCTCTCTGTACTTATTTACAAAGTACGCGGCTCATTCCGATCTAAATTTCAACTTGTACTACACAATGAATTACATTAATCTGATGTTACAATTTCTTTGCTAGGTGAAAGATATTGATAATGCACCAGAACTCAATGTAACTAAGGGCGAAATAGAATTTCGGGATGTTTGTTTTCATTATAACTCTAGGTGATGATAGCGTTGTTTTGATAAAGCTATTTTCTACGATAGTTATACAGTTTCTAACATTTAACATTGATATTCTGCTTTATCAGTCGCCCAGTTCTCAAGAACATCTCATTTTCCGTTCTCCCGGGGCAAACTGTAGCTTTGGTAGGGTTCTTCATTATGTTACTGACATAGCTTAGCCCTATTATATTATGATGAAATGTTATATCGGCAATACGAGTATCGGTCACTACATACAGTAGAACCGAAAAATTATCTTATGGTACCACAATTCTACTTGATCATAGTACACTGATTATTCATTTTTTCTTAGGTTGGCCCATCCGGTAGTGGTAAAAGCACAATAATTAGACTCCTATTCCGCTTTTATGACATCCATAGCGGCACGATATTATTTGATGGTCAGGATATCACCAAGGTGAGGTAGTATTAAAAACCAGTTTAGAATCATAAACTTACTGTATTAGATGCTTTTGTACGAATTTATTTTTCTATATTGAGTAGCATTCTCTGTATAGAATATATGTACTGTACTATCATGCTTAATGTTATTTCCTATTTTAACTTACATTGCTATCAAATCAAGATTTCTCAAAGATCTCTAAGGAAAGCTATAGGTGTCGTTCCTCAAGATACTGTTTTATTTCACGAAAGTATTAGGTACAACCTTAATGGATTATTAAATATATCATAGTAAAGAGCGTTACTAATACGCCAGATAATCATTTTTCTTTTCTTGCATCAATTTAGGTATAATGTAAGGTATGGCCGTGCTGATGCCAATGACGATGAAGTCGAGGAAGCCGCAGCAGCTGCAGATATTCATGACCGCGTGCTACGCTTTACAGACAGTACGTATCGTAGTAAAGACAGTTATTCTCTTAATTAAATAATTTTTATTACCTAATTATGGTTACCTGTTTCACTAGAATATGATACAGTCGTTGGTGAACGAGGGCTAAAACTGAGTGGAGGAGAAAAGCAAAGAGTAGCTATTGCTAGAACTATTCTAAAGTCACCTCAATTTGTGTTACTCGATGAGGTATGTCTAGTAATACTATAATTACAATCGAAGCTGTACTCGTAGGTTCGATTCAAGAAGTTTCCAAAGTCTGAATTTAATTTTAATCAATAAGGCTACATCTGCCCTCGATACTCAAACTGAACGAAACATACAAACTTCGTTAACTAAAGTATGCGCAAATCGTACCACAGTTGTTGTCGCACACAGGTTAGTGAAATGTTTAATAGATTTACTCGTTTCGATATATAAAAGGAAACTTAATCCTGCTTTGCTCTATTTAATTAATTTTCTATAATTAGGCTATCAACTATCATAAACGCTGATCTAATCCTTGTACTTAAGGATGGAGAAATAATAGAGAGAGGACGGTGAGTTCATAATTAGCGGTTGTTATTCTTACTATGATGAACTTAGAAACGTTATTGCTAACATCTTTTCTGTAGCTAGTTTAAGTTTGATCAACCATGATTGTCAACGTATGCGTATATATCTTAGGCATGAAGATCTTCTTGAAATGAACGGAAAATATGCACAAATGTGGGCTCAGCAAAGTGAAAATGAAGAAAATAATGATGCTAGTCGTAATCTTATTTCTCTAGAGGAATAATGGATCGTATTTGAAAATCAATTAGCTCTACTTAAATATATTTGAATAGTTAATTATTATGTAGCACTAGCGCTTACTAATTAATTTCGACGCCTGAGTCTCGAAAAGTTTTACTTTTTAAAAGCACTTATGCAAAACGCCTTTGCTGTGATGCAAAGTACAGTAACATGAACTCGGCTCAAATAGCGTCTAAATAATACTACGTTTACTGCGGTAATGACTTACCAAATAAGTTCCTTTAAATTATAACTTGTTACTCTCATACTCGGGTCTCCATTAGATGGTGATGGTAGTTATTTTTATCGAACTTCTTGTCGATAGTTTCTAACTTTAGCCACTTGTAATATTTACCAACCGATGTTGCTGTCATACAGTTATTTACACCTTGCTGGATAATCAGTAGGATTGAAGTTACGCGTAAATCTTTTATTTTATTTATACATGCGGTATGTGATACTCTGAACAATTAGTGCGCCGTCAAAATAGCATCTTGAGTGCATTGATTAAAAAGTGGAGTTCATATAAAATCAAAATGAAAACTTTTGACCACTTTTATATAATAACTGTTGAAGCTTGAAACTTTACTCTTTGCATTATTATAAGGCCAAATTTATTGTATATAAGTCTTCAATTCATTGTAATCCCAAATATTAAAATTAGTGATTTATTATAAATTTTTGGTTCTTCTCGTTAAAGATATCTAATTTTACCTGACTTGAATATCTTGTAACGTGTTGTAAGGAATACTGTACACCACAATCGCATCAGGCAATAATGATTATAACATTCATACAATGCAAAATGTCACATTAGTGACATCTTGCTCATATAATTTTAAAATTACCCAATTCATTATCTGAGTCACCTTCAAGAATGGTAGTAGGCATATAATATAGTTTTTTTACATAACCGCATTATAAGATCGGTTCTTAACGTGAAGAATCTTAATAGCGTATACGTACATATACAGATATCAGTATTTCGTGATATAAACTGGCATTCTATCGATTTTGCTGATCATCGTAATGATTAAAATGTACGATTCATAATCAATAATAGTTTTAAATTTGCAACATATAGATATGCCGTCACCGAAAGCAATTAAATCGTACGCAGCTTGTAATAAGTATGTAATTATGCCTTGCTAAGTAAAATAGATTACAGCAAGAATGATCAAGCTTTGATTACATAGCTTCACGAGGATACTAAGCAGGGCTTAGCGAAACATCTCTAAGTGATTGCATTAATATATCGGTAAAGTGAATAGTAAATTAAGGCTAATTTATCTTAATCTCATCGCAAATACGATGAACTTCGACTTTACAAGAAATTATATTTTTTAAGATACAAGAAAAATAAAAAATTCCTTTGTGAATCACCAAAATAAAAAACAGTGAGCTGAAATTTGTTATAGCAGCTCTGTAGCTTACCAATACTAAAATGTAAAAATATCTTTTAAATAAATATTGTACAGCAGTTATTACTTATTGAAGACATGATTACTGTGCAGCTATAGAAAAATATATCTTATATGGGATAGATACAATTTTAATTGATTTTTTACTAGCTGCTTTAAACAATAATTGTTCCTAGAAACAATGATTTGAGATGATCCTACGTGCAGGCAAGAAAGTTCAAGATTATTAGAATATCGGTTGATTTAGAGGTCGAATTTAATGTCGTTGTCGTTTTCTATTCTTCCGCCTCTTTACCGGATTGAATAATCTCAAAACTATCCCTTACAGTAGTTCGGCAATAAATAAAGAATAAGCATTCTGCAACTTCTATTACGGTATTTAGATCCATACCAGTCGTCAAGCTTTCGATATTTGAAATAATTGTAATAAAAATAAATTAATTGCGATTGTATGGTCTCCATAACTGTAAATTAAGTTCACAATATAACTCACTTATTTAAACATGAAAATACTTCCGTTGCATCCGCCGCTTTCATTATGTTTGCTCTAAATATCATCAAGACAGCGACACTTACAAAAATGTCAAATGTAAATTCAGAGTTAACATCAACTTCTAAGCCATGAACACAACCACCTGTATAGTACAAAACATAGAAAATTCTATTAACAAGCCACCAACTCAGCATACTTATAACATCATATTAAAAAATCATTATTGTACCTCCTTTTTCTATTTCTAATATTCTTTGTTGTTCAATTGCCATAGCACCTTCATATGAGTGGGGTTCAAGATGCCCACTATATATGATTTCAAAAATTTTAAGACTATCATCAAACGCAAATTCCCTTTTGAAAGTTAGCAGTAGCCATCTGAAAATGATTTTAAGAAGGTTTCATGATTTCATTCATCCAGTGACAAATAACTTTTAAGTCAGTTTCTAAAGGTAACTGCATAACGTGTAGCGTTAATTAATATCTTATGCCAATATTTTACCTATGACAGATCATGAGATCGCTAGCATTGAGAGATTCCAAATATTCAAATAATTTACTATCAAGGACCATGAGTAATCGCTGAACTGAAGCTAAAATAGGAAGTAATTAGAATCTCATTAACTTAAATATATCGTCACCAGATCTACCTTCATCAGGCGTATTTACATCGTAATTATATAAAAGCTATTTCACAAAACGAGTTATAAAATGAAACCATAATGAATTGAAAATTGTACACTAACACTGTAAGCTAGATATATAGTATTAATTGTGATTCTACATGAGACCAACAATACAACCTTTACAGACAGAGTACTGGTTATATAATCAAAATATTTCGTATGAATCGCACCGATTTTAAGTAACATCCCACTTTCGCGAAAATCGTTTTCTACTCTTTCAATAAAATAGTTGAAGCACCAGAAAGCATCAACTTCAGATTCTAAAACTACTAGAAATCTACTCAGAACATCATTCATTCCTTGTGCATAGGTGACACCTGAATAGAGAAGAATATCACGAAGATTAAATTACTCCTATTATTGTTGAGTTCCAAATTTACACTACCGGTAATACATTTATTGTAGATGGAATAAACAATACCTGGGTGAAAAGCGGCAAATGTTATTAAAATATGACGCAAACTTTCTAGCCTTTTATCGCCCTGTTCACCTCTACGTAATGATTGTTCCATAAGATATGGTGTCAACATTAGTACTTTTACATGAATAAACTACAAAACAACTTAGTTTAATATTTAAGAATAACCAATAAAGCAATATAAGATACATAATATTTAGGATCTTAAATTAATAATTGAGAGCATGGAAACGAATCTAACTAACTACTAACTGATAAAAATCAATGACACGATCCGTTCGAGGAACATCTTTATCAATAGTGCGTATAGCTTGAAGAGTTAAATTTTCATCAAAAGGCTGGCGACACGCATACAGCTATTAGAAATTAGGTTAATAACATTCATTGCGGTTAATATCTTAACACATTGGCCGATTCTTACAGTTAAAATACGATTAAGTGATAGTAACAAGAGTACACATTCTGTACCACGTCGCCACTGATTGTTATGTACCGTATTACAAATGTCCTACAGAGGTTACTAGTATTCAATCACACGACATACTTCTAATATAAACTCAATAATGTATCAGGTAATTTACTATACCGTGGCATCTGTATATAGAAAGTTGAAATGTTGTTGTTGCTGGAAATCGCTGCAGTCATTGTTTAAATAATATTTAGAGAACTCGTTCTGTAGTTCGTGTTATCACCATGAATTCAGTTACATTGGAATAAAAAAAAAAGTATTCAAATTGGGTCGTTAAAAATTTCAACACTAGATGATTAGATAACTTTGATGCTCATTCAAAGTGAATTTCTATGGTGACTACAAATTTGTTAACATTATTACAACCAGTCAAGAACGAAGCAAAATATACTTTCTGTTACAATATGATATCATAATTGTACTAACTTTAACTTGTTTCTGTACGACCATGAATACAGGTTCATCTGAATTAATATTATTAACATCATCCTGATGATATACGTTATATTTTCTTAGTTCAAACTGCCAGCGAGCCCTTAAGGCAAAGTATCTTACAGCTCTCTCTTCGTCTAAAGCCTGCCTTTCTCTAAATGTGGAATTAAACAAGTACATTCCAAATAGAAATTTCCAAACATCTTTGCGATCAATCGGATTGATGCCACCTATCATAATCATACGTATTTAAGATAAAATCAACATTTTCTTGACTACTATTGCTTCAAGTTATGATTACTGAAACTATGAATTTAATTGTTCGTACAGAACGATTCAAATTAATATACTGTTTATTTCTGATCTTCCACGAAAAAATTAATGGATAGAACTGTTAGTAATATCAGTCGATAAATGGTATGCTACCACTATATACCTTTGAATATACGCTCGCGTATTTTATCTTCGTTAGTAACTCTACCATCTTTATCGATATGCTTTTCCCAAATTTCTTTTGTTAAAGGCGATTGAGCACTACGGTCATTAACAGCTGCAGTACGCTTCCATCCAGTTAAATTGAGATTATTTCGGTCACCTTGGCCGGTAGCGAGAACATCTTCTAAGATAGCAGACTTGCTTTGCCCTTCAGCATGACACGCAGTTGCAGCGTTCACAATGACTTGTATACCCCCATTACATTCAGGAATCTCTCCTTCGTCCTCTTCACCATCAATACAATGAGCTACATTACCATCCATGCTATTAACTATTATGGTAATCCACTGAATAGCTATTCATTCATCCATGTAAATAGAATGAGAACGAATTGAAAGCTAGTTAATAAAGATAAGCACAGTGTGTTATAATGTTGGCAGAATTACTCAACATTATTTTATAGGCTCAACAAACGAAATACAAATACTAAATTTATAAGAAACGGTACCGTTAACGTAGAGATCTGATTTGGTTAGCAAGAAGATAAGTTCAAATATTCGCTATACGAGTGCATCATGTTGCAATATGAGTTGCAAGTATGACCATTCACTATACTGTTATTTAGTTGATAACAAGTAATACATGTCACACCCCGACAATCATTTCTTCTAGTTAATCGTAGCAATCTTTACAAGATTATAAAACATCATAAAGTAAATAACCTAAACATCATATATACACCGTAATGATAGAGTAATCGTCAACAGTATACACATACAGTATTAACAACAGGCAGTCTTGATGATGCCTATTTCAACAATATTAATTTTTATTTAGTAATAGTTAATAAATCCGGTATTATGAGGATCATAATTTGGAGTGTATCCTTATTAAAAGTGATCCTATCGTGTATTCTCTACTATTAGCATGTCAAATTGGCACTCAGCACGGCACAATTACTACCTGTAAAGCATTCCTGCTGCAGTTACTACGATGCCAGTTAGTTGGTTTACGTTAAGAGTTGATGTCATCTTTGATGATCAACTGAAATTACAGTATCATTTTGATATACCATTTTTAGTCTGATAAGTTAACTTGGGCATGAATACCTCAATGCCTAAACGTTCAAGGAACAAAATTACTAATGCACTTACTGTGAGACAGCCTGTAGTTATGTGAACAAAGCATAATAAATTAAACAACTACTGTACCCTTATCGTAAGTATGTATAGTGATAATTCTATTATAACGCCAAACGGCTAGGGTGCAGCATTCCTTCCTATACAACTTGATTACGATATTGAAGAAAAGTCTACTTCAGTTTTAATCTATCCGCTTTAATACCCGTTGGTTAAAGATGTAAATGAGTTTTCTTGCTAGGCAGCCTGTGTACGTCTCGAATATATCCAATTATAAGCTGTTTATCCAGTTTCTGCAAAAGGTGCAGGCAAGCAGCTGACACAATATCTATTACTACGAACAATCGATCCCAAATATAGTATGTATTCTTCGTCGTATGTAAAATTGAAGACGAGGAAAGTTGTATCTACTATCAATTAACCAAACCTATTCCATTTTGATGATAGAGTTGGCGTCATCAAACTGAACCTAAAGTCTCTACTTTTACTGACTAGTTGAAGGAGAATAAAGTTCAAGTATGAACAATGTTGTCACTGTTGGAGGGGTGCATTGTCGTCATTCTTTTTATTTCCATAACAAGATGAAATTAGCAACATTGTTCCTACCTACAGGCTATAATATGTTTGTTATTGAAATAGTCATATTGTATCTACTGTACATGGTCATGTAGTAAGTTAGTAATATGTAGTGATTGGCAAGGCGTTAATCCATCTTGGAAGGGGCAAGTTGAATAATAACTTGGTGTCAATATCGAGGAAGAACTTGTCTACCGTACAAGGTGATCATCAGCAGATCTGTTTATTTTCGGCGTACCAATGAGTGTACTATACATAATTTCTAGGGATAAGATTCAAAATGGGGTAACGTAGGTCTAATTTAATATTAATTTGGACGTTTGCCCAAACTACGTCGCTTCCATTGGGTATTTTGGGCATCCATCGACAATAAACAGAGGTCTGACGAATCCTCCAGTGACTTGCTATGAGCATAAAGAGGGTGGATATACCATGTCACCGGTAGATTGAAAGTCAAGTCATTGGCGATCGGAAAAGTAGCACAAATTAACATTTAATCATGTAGCTATAGCATAGGGCCTATTTGAAGCATAGTGGTATGACGATGATCTTCAATGGTCATTCTACCCTTTCTCATTTCTTGTCCAATAATTCATTCTGTCTATCAGACAATCCATAACAACTAGCTATCATACCACTGGAGTCGATACTTACAGCAAGGTAGCGATAAAAACGCTCTACAAATGGCTGTTGCAGACAGGCATCCCTATCAGTAGGCTTCTCTCCCAACACAAAATACCCTCGCTTTGATTCTAGAAAGAAGCGATTTACTATGTACTTGTACTAGAAAGCAATTGAACCTGAATATTCTTTTTCTCTTGGACAAAATATCTTGGAGAACGAATAGTAAATCGATGTTGTCGCTATCCTTTCCACTCTTTCCCGACTGGTCTTTTCCTTCTTTTCACTGTTGTATGCGGGACTGGATGACGTCAATCAATGGGAAAATAGTGTTTCATGTATGACATTTGGCGTCATAGTAGACCGTACAAGCGACCTTCTTCCAACGCTTGTGGCCCAAAGAAATGCACGACCGCAGTCAGCAGACAAGCGAGTGATTACGAGTGACTACAGCTGCCCAGCCCACCCTGGTGAGAGTACCGTACCGATCCGGACCGGACTGATCCGGACCGGACTGAATTGTCAGTTTACGTCATAGTAGAGTACAGTGCTGGCAAGACTCCACAGGCAAGACTCTTTGCCGTCATGGACAGATGCACTACCGTGTAGAAGAAAACTAATTCAATTATAAAAAGCAATCTTCTAGAGTTCTAGTGGTCTATGATACTGCAAACGCGTATACAGTCGGGGAATTGATCAACAGAAGCTTCTGAGGGAGCACGATATCACTCTCTTTCTCTCTATTTATTAGCCTTATTATTCGGGTCAAGTAGGCTGTCGTTCGTGCTCAGTTCTCTCTCATCTTGTCGCTTAAGTCTAGCGATGATGACACATTGAGCAATCCATGGTATAACATTTCTTACATCTACATAAATTACTTTCACTCAGCAGTCAGTAGTGACTACTGAGTATACTAGTAAATACATATTGTACTGCATATTAAGAAATGATACAATAGTTTGATGACACGGTAATTATTAAATTATACGGGGCAGGTGCACAATACAGTATTTTCAATTTATGGTCATTTTACCGGTAAATGGTAAACAGCTATATTGAAACTTGTGCAGCTGTTATACGTAATAATGATCGCATTTGAGCACTTGTGAAGGGGAAAAGACTGCGACTTCTTGTAGATGCTGGTAGATACTTGATAATAACTATCATAGAAAGTGTCTTGAGCTAGCATATAAGTGAATTTCACTTGTGCTTTCGTCCACTCTGACGCCGCATTTACTCTCTGTCATAGTATTCGCGACTCTGGTCACTCTGCATGCTCAATATTTTATAGCTTTTACTATAAATTACGGGATACACTTAGGTATTGTTGTATAGTTGACCCTTGTAGTCTTTCTTCTCCAAACTACTATTCTATAGCAAATAAAGAAGTACACTATACTGCTAAGTGTAAAAAGATCAAGGTTAAGCCTTCCTCAAACAAATAAGACTACTAATACAGTAGGCAATATATATCAAATACAAAGTCACATCACCGTCCTACCACATAACAATATACGTTACGTAATGATTTGAAAGATTACCCTACACAGCACTATCATATCAAGATAGCGTAATACTCGTACATTAATATTTTAATAAATTTTACGATAAAGGTCAATAGTATGATAGTACAATAACACCGCTCGTACTATCTAAGTGCAGGGTTATAAGAAGACTAGCTTCTTCATTTAAACATAGTAGTGATATTAGTATCACATTACAAATTACAGCATCGTAGGAATAATAGTATTGTGTCTTATATAATTTAACACGGATTGATGAATATTAAAGCAAGTTAAGAACAGATATATTTGTGCGATATCAACGGATAATCAAATTTAGATCGAGAGCAAAGCTCCTACCTAGCATATTTGCATTATTCATTGTTTTCACGTAAAAGTCCATACAAATCCAATTCTCATAAGAATAAGCAATGCACAGACCACAATTAATTCATAATTAACTAATCATAATAATGAAATAGTATAATGGATAATAGGATATTTTAAATTTGAATACGTCATTTCAAGAATAAATCAGTGTACACATACCGTAAACTGTAATGAGAGCTGCGTCAATGCCATTTCTTGTAATTACATACTACAAGATACTACTGTGATCATCTTAATATATCGGTTACACGCACGTAGTGCGGTGAGTTTTAAAAAGCAATCTAGAACAGACTGCAATTTTTTTAAGTTTTTACAACAGTACCAAGCTCGTAAAATGCCGTACTGTATTATTTACATAATTGATCTAGTTTAATTTTCTAATACAAGACGACATACAATACAATGTAAACAAATTCATAATGATTCAAAATTAATGATGTTAATAATAATTATTATCTTTTCAGAATATATTTCTACTAGTTGGGTATAAGTTCGTGCATACGATATTTCTCCTTTATTAAGGGTCTGACATCCTCATCCTATTATGAAATTAGTAAAACAGAATCAATTTGTATTTCATTCTCATGTCAAGGTTAATCTCAATTGATTTCATAGTGTTATAGTTTACTCACTGTATTAACAAGCTCTTCCAAAAATGGGATTAGTAATAATAACTCTGCATCATTTTTATCAGTAAACCAGCTTTCGATAGGGATTCCATTTGAAAGCTAAACAAAAATTATTTATGATATAAGACAATGTACCTACAATAATTTATTATTTCTTACAACTAAAATAAAAATGAATATCAAATAATGTAATATGAAGTTGATAATAACCTGATAACCGAAAGCTTGAGGTGAATTATCAACTATCACAGTTTTCGATAAATCCCTTCCTAGTATTCCAAGATCTTTCACGTAATTACCGTGAACGAATACACAGTGCTCACGAAATAAGCGATGTCTAATTACAAATAACAAGTTTTAATTTATAGCGGAATCTATTAATAATCCAATTATAACCATATTGCAAATCTTTAATGCTTACTTAACAAGCTTTCTACCGGGGTCTATAATGTCCATTAACTTGTTTGCGTATACCTATTGATAAATAAAGATATACGTTATGTCTTTGGTATAGACACGATATGGCTAGTTACGCATTATATTTATGGTTGTTGTGCTAAACTTCAACAGCATTACCATAAAATACTCTAATATGCTATTACTTACTTTCTTGGAAGCAGTAAATAATATAACCTGTAAGAAAGATAATAGAATAAGAACTGGTTAAACGAAATAAGCGGATAAATTTTTGTGTTGGTATAATCTATTTCTATGTCGTAAGCTCTGTTAATCATTTCGCTCACTTCATATATTTTGGAAACGCGTTCTAAAAATTCCCTGTAATAAGGACGAAGTCGCACGTATACCTGAAACATTTTCAACAAAAGAAGATTTAATCTCCATATTTAAGACAATTTGTGCCTAAGAAAAAATATAACCTACATCATAATTATTGTTTTTAAAATATATAGGAAAATGTAAATTTGCGTCTTCCAGCAAGCTGAGACTACAATGGACCAATGTTTCGTCCTACATTGAAAGAGATAATTCAAACAGTTGCTTCAATAGATTATTCTGGTACGTTCCAGGAAATATAGGAATTCATAATTTGTAAACACAAATATGTCCATGGCTTATCTTACCAAATCGATTACTAAAGTAAATTCTGGAGTTCCTCTGGTTTTCAAAGGCAAAACTATAATACAAACAATCGGATAAGTTTCATCGTAAATGTTTTACTACAAATCTTACTTGTTACTAAAATTAATAAAGCATTCCTTCCCTAACCTGGTGTCCGCCTTTTCATCTCATCTGATAGGGGTGGCAGATCTCTTATAAATAAATACCTTGGCAAAGAACGGTCCTATTTAACTACGACAAATTAACTAGTAATAGTTACAGGTAAAATAATTTTACTTACGGATCAAAGATTTCAGGATCAACTTCTAGCTCAGGCGAATAACTCGACTGAACTATTTCCTAGAAATGAATACAAACATTTTGCATCGTTTAGACAAATATAAAGAAGTATATTTAGAGGATGATTGCAGTTTTGAATGAAAAGTAAATAAATTTTCTCAGAATGGCACTGTACTATCTTAAGAAATCACTTAGATAGTGATTAATTTACCTTGTTAGTGTTATCATTTGAAGAAATAGCGCTATCATCATCATTCATTACAAATTCTTGCACACAATTTTCACCTAACACAATTTTATATTTGTATAAGAGCAAGTCCATTCTTACACACAAGATATCTAATCTTAACTACAATTGATTTATCAACAGGTTCAAATATAATGTTGTTCTACTTACAACTGGATATCATACAATTGTCTTCTAATTTCCTCAAAGAATCCTCATCACGTTCTTTATCGCTAGTTTTTATAGCAAGGCTATCATCGATATCAAAGCGATCTCTAAAGCCATCTAAGAATTAATTCAGATAATGTTACAATTTTAATATTTTTGTTATAAAGTAAATCCAACGATGTAACTTACTATTTTGACTTAGCAAGGATAAAACTGGAGAAAGAATAGCGTCCATAAAAGATTTCCTAAATAAAAAAATTTATTTTCGAACGTTGAGTACATCTAATTTAAAGGACAGTTTTACTATCATAAATTGTACCCTTGTTCGCTAGATTCATCATAACTGGTATCGGAATCACCTATAGTTGAAAAAGTAATAGCGCAACAACAACAATCTTAGCACATTGCCAGCAAATTTGAAAGATAGCAAAAATCAAACAAACTGTATAGTATCGTTCTACTTCCAGGTTAAAAATAATTCTTATACAATTACTAAACATTATAGAATTGTGGGACTATGTATTGGGAATTATATTAAACAAATGCTGCTTAAGTTCATTCCAATTATTAATTGTTTACCGTCATCAGTATCTAGGTAATCTGGGTACATCCCTAGGTCATCAAAATCCTGAAGGGACAATTTTAGATACATTATTTGTCAGAAATACCACGAAGTTATTTTCGCATATTAACAAATGATTGCATCACTTCGAAAAATCAATATATTATATCATATTGTAATTTACCTCTCCAGCACTCTTTACGTCATTTCGGAAGCGTTTGGCCATTTGCGAATCATCCTAATCGTCAAAATTGCGGCACACGTAAAACAACTAATTTACTACCTTATTTCAATAATTTTTAATCAAATACATTGTCTATTACCTTATCAAGTATTATAGTATCAATATGCGTATTATATAATCTCACCTTCCAGAAAATATACTTAAATGACGAAAATAATCCATGAGAATTATGACATTCAAACTGAAACAAATAAATGAGAAATAATTAATAAAAAGTAAAGCATATCCAATAGACTTGCAAATACAGAGTTAACACGAAGTACAAATTTAGCACAGTAGTTCCTTAATAATAAATTAGCGTCATCAATTAGTAGTATTTCTAGTTGTATACTAGTGGCAAACATAAGACGATGTAACAACTCATTCATTCTATTGGTTAATATTACACAATTATAATTTAAGAGTTATTACAACAGTTGTAAATCATCAGTGAATAGTTTTGTTTAGATTGAGATATTAACAGTTAGTTCACAGTGTAAATAATTAATAGAATCTGTTACACAGTGTTAGGATAAGGTAGTTTCATCAATCAGGAAGAACTACACAAAATTCATTTGTTTACACAGAGTATATACAGTGTAGTTAAATTTAGCTGATTAGAACTAATCATTGCAATACAAAAACCTATATAAGTACCTCATCATCGATGACGCTATGCAATAGCATTTCGTCTTCGTCAGTATTCTTTCTTTTGATTCCACTAGCAACGTTATCATCATGACTGACCTAAATTATAAAATAACAATCAACCAAGGTACCTTATATCAAATTTGTTTATTGCGACAGTATTGTTAAGGCAGATACGAAAATAAAATTATCATGGATCCCCTATATCATTACAGATATATTGGTTTTTACTGCAAGACTTTGCTAAAACTGGAGCAAATACTTGATTCTTTGCAGTGTTATAAGCACAAAATAGTGGTAGAGTATGGTATCTTCAATAGTAACGTCTCGATGTATGCTTACTAATACTAATTTTGAAATCTTTATAAGTTAGTCATAATAGTATCATGCTGGTTGACCTGCTTTTTTCGCGGCATTCCTTAGCTTAGCACTTGATTTACGATGCAGGCCACAACAACAGCAGGAAAGATCGACTTTTACCTGAGCTCTTCAATAATTTGATGGAAGAAAATAAGAGCATTTTTGATTCATTACTATAATATAGATTTAGTGAAAATCACAGGAACGATAATATTGCATAATAAATATTGTCATTATCAGAAATAGACGGATAACGACAGTAGAATTGAAAATTTCGAAGTGAATTACTATATGATCTGCAATACAACTGATCAACATGGTAAGTCTATAATGTATCGGTACAGTACGGTGCAGTAATTGCAAACTGGATTAATTTACTATATTGTATCCATACAGTGTACAGTACTGTCATTATTAGTGCTGGAATATACTGTACTCTGTACAGTAGTTACTATGGGTTCATGGTAAAGTACAGTACAGTACAGTGTTTTGAGTGCTGTCCCTTGGTACCGTAGTACATAGTACTGTAAGGGATTGTACTGTACGTGTACGCTTTTTGTTTTCCAAAATCCTATGCAGTTTACGAAAGGTCTCCGTATGAATTTTTGACTCCTGTACCAGACTGTACCAATGTGGCTGGATGGTGTAGTGAGGATTCTATAGAATTAATTTCAAAACGGTAAAGGCCATCGCAAGGCTTAGGTTGTTTGTTTTTACTACGACTTTGTACCAAACTTGTCTGCAGGAGTGGAAACAAGAATTCAAAGTTGGAGCGACAAGAACAGACATGCATAATCGGTTCGAGTTTCCAACAACGATTCTAGGGGTCTTTTGTGGTATAGAGCAGTGTAGCAGCGTTGCATGCCGTATTTGAGTCACATAAAACACACAAAGTTTTTACTCTCACACTAGTAGTAATTGTGCATAATAGGTACGAAGAAGGTCCAACAGAAAACAAAGTAGTATACTGTACAATTACTCTAGTCTTCAATTCCGAGAAATGACCAACTTCAGACAATGTAGTAGACTAGAAAAAAATGAAGTTTTTGACGGGTTACTGAAATTCCCCACTCAATACTATGCTATAATCGTATAAGATTGCTTTCGTCGTTCTCACCCTGAAATTTAACCGCTAATTGATAAATGCAAGACAATTATTTTGATAAAAAGTTATTACAGTAAATGTACTGTACAGTACTGTTTACGATTCTTCTAGAATTTTTTTAAATTTAATTGAAATAATACCGTAAGCGATAATGCATAATTGACATAATTAATATCCGACGTGTTATAAGCGTATGTAGACGATATACCATAACTATGAGATAGAAACTAGTGCATTACAATGCTTACTACAAAGACAACTTTAAAGTGACACGATAAATCCTTCAAGTTGAAACGGTGTTACTGCAGGACTGAATTTAATATACCAATAATCTGTATGTAATTATATCATGAAGCTGAACATCCTGTTAACGCCATGCGCTTCCTGTAATTTTATATGACAACTTTATTTCTATCCTAAACGAAAGGCTGATATCAGATTGCCTCAACCTTATAACTAAAACGAACCTTAGCTCGTTAACATAATACAGAGCGGCGAGATAAATACGGAACGTGGAAATTAATTCAATGTACAGTAGGTAAAAGGTAAATTTTACGTATGCGTACTTACGGACTTTCCAAAAAAATGAAAGTCCTTCATACAATTTTTAGACCGCTATACTATGCATGTAGACAGCCGCTTCATCTGTAACATCATAAATAGAAGCAGCATGCTATCATAAGTTCGTAACGCGTTTAGTAAAGTGCACCATTATTGTAGACGGTCTAGTTGACATTGAATACATTTGTACAGAACAGTACAAAAGTGCGTAATTAATTCAATATTATCACGATCATTTGCAATTCAGAATGGAAGACAGATGTAGCATCGTACCTCGGAAATACCGAAGCTATACAGATACCATACAGCCTAATTTTTCAGTAATATTAGTGTATTGGGTATGAACGATAGTGAGGCACATTGGTCACTAAATTATAAATTATCAAATGAATTTCAGAAGATGAGCAACGATTACTATTTATATTGTAAGTGCAATTGTCACGTAAGCTACTTCTGCATTCTCTTCATTAAAACATTGTGATCTAGTACTACACTGCACTGTACGCAATACGAATAGACTCGGCAGTATTCACTGATTGGGACAGCTCAAGTCAATTTTTTTTAATTTTACTTTCATCATGACCATTCATTAGCAGGAGTGAACTTGATCCAAGTCTAGTCAACTTAACGTATTCGTTCACCTATATACTACCATCGTGTAGTTTTACAATTACAAATCGTTAAATACCTTCAGACGTAAGTTTACCTCTTATTACGGGTCTCGTTGAGCGGATTGTTGCTCTATACTGCATTAACAAGCTATCGGTATAGAGTGTTATATAACAGTACTGTCGTTGCGCATTTTACGATCAGCGGATTCAATGGCTAGCGACACTAATAACTATTTGATATTATTAATGGTACAGTATTAGGTAAAATGACAAACCCAATTTTTCAACTATCTCAATCATTCGATTATCAAAGAAGTTAAAATACGAGGACTGGACGCAATAGGTACAGTAGAGTGAATGAGAAGGGTTAGTAGGTGTATCTATATATACTGTACAGTGTACAGTACAGTATACAGTATATCCTATTTTTGGAGTTATTATTATGTGAAATCAATAAGTTAAACACTGTTGCTCAACTACGAATAACTGCACCACAGTAAGCTGCAGCGATTCATACGTAATACTGCTACAGAACTGTAACAAGACAATCGAAGAATAATAACGCATAGAGTAGGGAATAAATAGGACAAGATAAGCGAAGAATTAGCGTATTAATCGCGAACAATTTAAAATAAATGTGGAGATATCTATAATTGATTAATGTATCGCAAAAACAGCAGGAACGGGCAACTGTACGTAGGGTAATCGCTCATTATAAAATCGTCACTCTGATAAATTGTCAACATCTATCGGTTCACATGAATTGATTTGTTCCTTTTACTATATCTAATGGAGGGTTTCATACAGTTTTTCTAAATATTGTATATCAGAAGCAGAGGAAATTTCATGCCAGAAAAAGTTGAACGTATGGATGTAGTATCCAGCACCGTACAGTCCATAGTAAATTAATAAATAATGCACAATAATATCGATGTCGCCGCACTGGATTACATAATAAGATAATTTACTGCAGTAAATTGTAACTAATAATTACAAGCAACAACAACTTATTGGCTATTCGAGGAGTAAGTTTTACTATTTCAATTGAGTATAAATCATACTATACTTCTAAGCAAGATACAGTAGACGACGGCATTGCGTAATAGACAGTTCCGTGAATGACCGACCGTTGATGTGGATACAGCACACTCGTACAGTAATACTACTATGGTACTCACACCGTAGTATCGTCAGGCTGGGTTGAATGTCGGTGAAAGTAGAGTAAGGGGGCCATTATCCTATTCTACAAAACTCTGTCATTTTCCAATTGCAGGGCACACATACCAACTGCATGGGTAATACCTTAATATGTACTGATGCACGTCCTTTCTTGTAAGAACGATGTAAATTGACTGTGAATTTCGTATACAGTTCAGTAGAAAAGATAAATAAAAAGTGGGGCAACACTGCAGACTATAGCGCACCAGTGTTTCAAAGCTGGACGGCAGGAATTGTTTAATGATGATAATATCGTATTCAAAGTGTTCAATTGCAATTATGGCAAATGAATTTATATTTATAGACTTAAAGAATCCTTACTTACCTTTAACTAGCAGTTACTAAAATGTTCGAATTTCAATTCAATGTACCCAATTAGAAATAGTCGCTGCAAACGTACGCAGAGTTGTAGTCATTAATTATTATGAAAATGATTGATGCGCGTATAATCATTATTACAATAATCACAGCAGAAATTTCAAAATTTTTGAACAAGTTTACAAACTAACTGTACTACCGCACTGTAGGAAATGATTGAAAATTGTTTGTATTTTCTTGCTATTTTTCATCAAACACTTACTCTATCAGCAAGCAGTGTATAGAATATTGTTCTACCAGTTTCTCCACTTTGCTTCTTGTACTTTATTTAGAAGATATTATTGCAGATGCAGCCAGCAAGGTACGTTTAAATAAGAAAGTAATTTTGTTGTTTCCTACTGCTCAGCCCTCATTCTTTATGATGATACCGACTACATTATTTTTTTACGGTCTAAAATAGTCAACCCAATCAATGGCCCGGTACAGTACAGTACAGTACTGCCGTAGTGTATAGTACTGTACTAAATCGCAGTGTCGCAATGTATGGCAACTAGCTATGACTCACTCCTGACGTCACAGTTTTTCTCTTTGAACTGACTCTACCAGACTCACGACGGCAAGTCTACGACTACGGACGACGGGACGAGTCACAATGTCGTTGTTGTCTTCCCTGAACCTCTAGTCTGCTCAAAATTCCAAAATCGAAGTCATAAAGTATTATTATCAATACTTTAAGCGTGTTACAATCAGGGACCAGTTAAAAAGGTCAATCAGGATTCACGTAATTGGTATTATCTATAGGTACAATTGAAATCGTTTGATGATGCAGTGCTACTTTATCGTCATAAAACTCACTTATGACTTTTTAAGACACCGTCTGACTACAAAATTTGGGGGGAATCAATGGATGTGTCTGCACGGCACTTTAGTGTACAGTGTACAGTATTGTATCACTGTAGACTGTACTGCGCACTGTACACTCTAGTGAGACGGCAGTCACGGCACACAGTCACGACCCTCGGTCCTGTAGTGTACACTAGTACAGAAATAATGTACCACTGCTAGTGTCCACAGTACTATACTGTGCTACACATCAGCACCTTGGGTATTGAGCAGTCTTTCAGTGGACGTTGTCGAATTCTCAAAATGACCTTCGAACTTTCACAGGCATTCAATTCGGTGTGCAATCATAATGAAATTTTATCATTCCTCTTTCTACCATCTTTGACTTGTTGTGTGTCTATTCAAGTCAGTAATTACTACTGAACCATGTGCACTTGTGCAGTGTGAGTGTCATGTTCGCTCTTCATAACTAGACGCCATCATCTACTGTATTCGTCAGGCCAGGCTTTGCCACTACCTCAGAGTGGTGGTACGGTACAATAATCTGGGCCGCCGTAGTCACGTACGTGGATGATTTTTTCCTTTCAAGCCACTGATTTGTTCGCGTAAATACTGGAACTCACCGTCCAAGCTCTATAGGCCAATTATAGAATGAATCATTAATAAATAATACTGTCTCTAATAATGATAATAAATATATACAGTAATTAATCAGATAAAAGAAAGAAAAAAACCTATTTTGCCTTAGTTACAGAGTGTTACAGTAGCTGCACTACTCAGCCCTTCCACTCTCTTCCATCTGTCCAGACCGTTGTACTGATACCGTGTACAGTACTAAAATGAAAGTACAGTACTGTACTGTACAGTACACTCTTTCTTTTCACTACAATACAGTACTGTACGTCATTAATTGCAGTCAACCCATAGAGAACGCGTAACCACGGTCACACAGTCAAGTCGAGTCAACTCCAATAGTCTACAGGAATACAATACTGCACGTCGCTCTACGACCGCTTCAGCTCACTGCCTGACAAGGATAGAAAATCTCTTACTAACGACATACACTGTACTACCATGGTTACCACCTTGAGAAAGGTAAGAAAGAAGGATTAAAATGTTTACTGCAGATAGTGATAGAGTTGCTGAAATTCTTGCAATCTTGAAAGTTACTATCATGATAGCATACGTCGATAATAACGACCCAGCAACTCAGCACCTGCACAAAATACGATCCCATCTGCAGCTCATTTTCACCTATAGGTACACTAGGTACAAACGTAAAGACGCTTCTCAAAATGATAATAATCTTCACCGATATTACTCTACCATACGCGTATAGTCCTTAAACGCAATGACATGCTCGCGATAACTTATTTTCCCTCAATTCTACTTTTCTCAGCCATTACTTTTACCGTATGACTGCAGGAAATCTGCAGTATTGACAGTTCTGACCTGCAATCAGCTGATTCATGTTCGAATCGTTGGATGATCATCTTGATCTCCATTAGACAGACTCAAGTCAATAATGGTGCAATACTCTACCTGCTAACGAATACACAGCGAAGAAGAAATGAACAAATAAATAAATTCGTTTCAACACACTGCAATAAAATTTCATTGATTTGCCCCCATCCTATCATACTCGTATCGTATTATGTTGATTGCAATTGCCATTATTAATTAAGCTACAGGTCTTCCGACACAATCCAACGATCATCTCTATTAATTATATATATTATAGGCTCAATTTATTCATCCATGAAATAGTCTTTCCTTGGGCATTGAGTACAACTTAATTGGATATCAACTGACGTAATTAGACTGCATAGCGGCTATTACCATTAGAAAGGTACGCTCAACACTCTTCAATGACCATTCCAAGGGAAAAGCGTCAATTTTGATATTCAATCGAAAATTAAGCAAGAATCAACATGGCAGATTTACTTCCGAAAACGCATCAAGATTTTGCATTGACAGATTACTGGGATAGTTTCTATAAAAAGCGCGATCAAAAATCCTTCGAATATTATGGTGAATATAGTGATCATTGCGTCTTACTTCATAAATATTGCCGAAAACAAGATAAGATATTACATGTTGGCTGCGGTAATTCGCGTCTAAGTGAAGATCTATATGATGCCGGCTTTCATGATATTCTTAATATTGATACGTCGGATGTTGTAATACGTCAAATGACGGATCGAAATCATCATAAACGCCCACAATTAATCTTTCAAAAGTTAGACATTAAAGATACACATTTCGATGATGGTTACTTCAATGTCATTTTGGACAAAGGAACTCTAGATGCTATGACTGCGGATGAGCATGGACTTGATCAACAAAGTATCAATGCCATGTTTACCGAAAGTAAGTTTATCTTTCAAACTTAAAAAGATAGACCATAAACGCAAATACTAATACTGATAATAATGGGACACTTGATTAACAATTAATATTGGAAAGGCGCAGAATACATGAAATGATAACAAATTGAATAGGATAAAGACAAGCTGACGATTAATAATTCTAATCACTATATATCTATATACATATACAACTGTATTTATTCTTTCATGAACTAATCTAGTTCACAGGATTACTCGCGTATATGGTCGATACATTTGTATATCGTTATGTCAAGAGCGTTCACTAAAGGCAATCGTGGAATGGTTTAACTCTTCCAAACAATGGATGATTCGAATCCATAAGGTACAAACTGCTGATATGACAACTGAAAAGAGTCAAGGATTGCAGCTACAGGTTTTTGCATTAGTCTTAACAAAAATGATGCCTCCAAAGGAAAATATGCCAGCTATCAAACCGGTAACATTTTTTGTTGATTGTATTCTACTTGATATCATTCATGACTTAAGCTCAATTTAAAAACGTTGCATCAATTAGTTTTTAATTGATGGAATAATTTTATAAGATTTTCCTTACAAACATAAACGTAATTCAATCAAAACTTATCTTATCTTACTCGTATAATCTATTCATTAGGTGTATGAAATTGCTACTGACGATACTAATTATCAAAGGATTGATACAATGGATAAGCTAATTTCAACGATTAAAGACATGCAAATATTCACATTAGCTCAGAAACACTTATCAAAGTAGGCCTTACAAAATAACCACCAGTTGTATGAAACCATGTCAGGCTATACGTAATTGTTTCTATAAAATGCTCTCTAGTTAATTTTGAAAAGTTCTTTTTAGCAAGTTAATTATTTACGTTTATTACTGTATCATTAAGATTGCGCATTGGAGAAGAATTTCAAATTGAATTGTGGGGTAAAGATAGCACCAGCAATCCTCGGTATAGTTTAACCTTGGTCGATAGTCCACGTGCTAATAGCAAGAGCGGTAAATTCGCTGTATTTATTGTGCCAGAAGGAAGGTATGTTATCGCTGTTCTTGTGAGTAGTAACATAACCAAATTTATTTTAGGGCTTGTCCTGTTATCCTTTCATGTCCAAGTCTAATCCTTTTTACTGTGCATTAAAAATACTAAAAACAGTCATCATTGAGCAAACATCATGTGTCATTCTATAATAATTTATCATTTCAAAGCATCTAAAATTGTTTCATTCATGAAATAGAGAGACGGAGTGGATGTTTTCAACATGCGCTGGTCGAAGTCAGTTAGCTGCAGATGCTGGTTTTGAGCGATTGGTGGTCGTTCATTTGCAGCGTGGGCATCAATATAAAGACATGCAGACGATTCAGGATGAGCTCTCAGCAAAAGTTCTGGAACTTAAACCTGATGGGCTGTCCCATAAGCATCAAGTAATTAAACTAGTGTAGTACTGGCACTCACATTATGACACCTTAGTAATTTACTATGTAACTCATTACATTTTCACCTTTATTCATAGATTCCATACTTATCAGTAGGTGACAATCTTGGAAATCGGACAGTCATCTGTGAAGGAAAATCTGAACTGAGTGGAGAATACATTATAGAAGACGTTATTGTTGATAATCAAAAATTTAGGTTCCTGATTTAGTATTAATAACTTTATATATGTTCCCTAAAAAATTTGCAAATACTTTTAAATAATACAAAATAGAACGACTATTATTACATACATTGAAGCAACATGGTGCATAATAAAAGTACTGCTTGTTCTATTAGAATTATCAGCAATGTAATACTCGATGTCTTTTCTTAATGCTATATATAGGAGACTTCTATTTTTAAGTAATAAAAATGTTGTCCAGTCGGAGGGCCTACTAAGAACAGGTAATCAATTATCAATTAATTTTGTTCGAAATTAAAAATTGTAACATTAATCACACATTATCACCTATCATAACAGTAAAAAAGAAAAAGAAAAAGGGGAAAAGTAATTCCAGTAGTACTCGAGAAGAAATTAATCACTTATATCTCGCTTGTAATCATCATGCAGTTATTGTTAGCGGGCTATCGCTAATGGAGCAGTTGATTGACAGTCTTGGTTAGTTAAGTATAGCATATTTATCTTTACATTTCTTACAAGGGAATATTCGCCTCTATAGAAACTTAATAGTTAATAAAATTGTATAATCCTATTAATTATTAATGATTAGATACCGGATTTAATGTATTGTTAATTGGCTTGGGTGGTGGAAACCTGCCTATGTTCATGCATAAATTGTTACCGCAGGTCTAAATGAATGATAAACGTTTGGTATTCCATGGTAACGAAAGAGCATGCTGAGATGTTTTATTATTGTTTGCAATAGATATCTGTGGATTGTGTAGACATTGATGAGGCTATTGTCGATGTCGCAGTTAAATGGTTTAACTTCAAAGCTGACGATAGATTAAATGCCCATGTTGATGATGGTCTTCAATTCATAGATCGTTATGCACGTATGGCAGACCTTGAAGGTCCTCTTATCATTTTGTGAATGTATAATGCATTTTTATACTAAATTAATCTACTAAATTAGCTACCTACTTAAGTTATTTCATTTGCTTTATTTACTAATACTTTGGTCTACTCCCTTCCTATTAGGTGGAAAAAGATACGCTATTGTAATTTTTGATGTCAATTCCGGAGATAATACTACTGGCATGAGTTGTCCCCCAAAACAGTTCACAACTTTAGACTTGCTTCAGAATGTAGCTAATATGTTATCAAAGAACGGTACAGTGATTTATTGTATTAGTAGTTTTAAATTTACTAAATTATAATTTTAATACTAGTTTCTTTCTTATTAGGCATTTTCATGTTAAACTTGGTATGCAGAGATAGTGATCTTAGAGCTGAAGTGATCGGCAATGTAAAATCAGCGTTTAAGTACCTTTTTTCAGTTAAAATCGAGCAACAGGTGAATGAAATCATATTCGCAATGAATTCTCTAGAAAATCCTATTTTTATTGAAAAAATTAAAGATAAGAGAAAAGGTATTTTTTTAATAATTTGCTATAAAATTTTATTATCTCATATGTAGGGTGCATTTATATTTCATTGTCGTAAAATTTGTTTGATAATTGAACAATTTTCTAGGTAAATCATCAAAAGTTGACGTTGTAATGACCGAATGGTTCTTGAACAATATCAACATTTTACAAGATAAATATAACATGTTGTTACAGAAGTTTAATTGCAATACTGAGCAAAACTTCGATTTTAGACAATTACTAGCTAATCTAGTAAATTTATAATTTTAATAAATTGTAAAATATTATAGGGGAACAACATCTAATGAAAACACATTGTAGACCACAATTTGTACAACAAACTTGATTATGATTATACACTAATAAAGCCTACTTAAACCTAAGAGGTCGCCTTTATTGCTATTACGTGTTTGAACTGTAACTGGAGTTCTTCAGAGATTTATAGGATGCTTAGGTATCGACGAACGTTCACCCTCATGTATTGCATCGTGTAGTAGATTATAAGGTGTCAGTATTTTTCTTTGTCATAGAGCTTGCGATATAATAAAAAAGATAACTTTCTAATTACTAGACTTACAGCGATTTACCCTCAACTGAAAGAAGCGTAAATACAATTTATGATTGAAAGCACATGATAGTCATAAAAGTTTTCAAAATTATATATGTTCCATTAAACTGAGAAATCACGATAGTAACCTACTGCTGATCCATTATTGTGTAAATGTTAGTCTTTACATGATCACAGTACTACGTGTATCTGATTAAACGATACTACATACAATATGAAAATCATTACGACTTTTCCCTTTAAGATGCAAACCCTTTTGATATGTATTATTATTATTATACTCAATCTTGGTATCAATGCACTAAATCAAGACAAAATTTGAGACAGTTTAGCTATCCCAGAATATAATATAGTACAGCTTAATAATTTAATAAGCCGTAAATTAAAGATTTTAAGTGCGTCTAACTATGCCATTTGAGCTATTGGCGACAGATTACATTTACTGTGATAAATCTTACATACAATTTATATTATATTGAAATCAGTTTGTGCGTTTATTATACTTCGAATTGGATCACAGTAACAACTTACCCCCTTGCTATTACTATATTTTGAAATGGCAATGAAGGGGCGAATAAATGGGCAAGAGTTTCAATATAATTTATTGTCGAATTAATATTAAAATGCACCAATTAAGACTGTACAGTAAATAAAATATGATTTTCATAAGACCATAGACAGAGTACAAGTATGTCGATTTAAATTATCGTATAATTTAAAATGATTAAAAATGCTATTTTACACTCTTATATCATAATTAGGATTCCTTAAATTTCAAGTATAAATAATTATAATATAACAAACAGCTAATTTTCAATTGATCTATTAACGTTGATAACAATCTAGCTATTATTCTTGGCATTTCTTGCAATATTGCCCGTATATGAACAAGTATATCTTAGTTGAACATATTATATTTCACAGATGTAGACAATACTATGTTCTGTAATACCTTGTGCACACATATAACTGTGAAAGAAAGTTACTTTGACTTCAACATAGCTCAATGTGACCATTACTTTCAGGTATAACGTATATTAATTTTTCTACACCGACTTTTCACTAACTTAGATATGATAATAATGGATCAATAGATGATTAGAGTTTTATACCGTAATAAAATTACCTAAATGCGCTACCACGAGTTAACTCAGCTTTTTAAGTCGATATCAAGGCAATAAAGATTGTAAACCTAGTTTATATTCCATTTAAATTATAAAACAGTTACAGTGATTTGAAACTAAATATAATTTCGATGTGTTCGAGTGAAATAGTTTGATGAGCAGTTAGATAAAAATAACAGAATTTTATTTCATCAATAATTATAAATATTGATTTTAGATAGCAATGATATTTTTCCTTTCGTGAGCTTGAAGTTTAATTATAATTTATTAACCTTGATATAATTGCCAAGCACAGAGTAGATTAACTTTAATTCCTCCTATAAAAATTGGTTGTAAAGCCAAATATAAATATAAGCGAAGCTAATATACAATCTTATAAAAGGGACCATTACTTTATTTTTATTAATCGGATCGATGAATATCCTAACATACCGTAGATGAAATGATTTTGCAACGCTGAGCGTATAAACATTTCATAATGGCCTGCATGTCGAGAACGTTATCTGTTTCAATCATCTCTATACCATTAAAAATACCGCAAAATGTTCCACACCTGGTAGAACCATCACTAAATTGTGATATTTAAATATAGAATGATCATAATTAATACATCCATAAATTATCTAAATCAGGTAATACTATTCTTATATCAATTGAAGAAATTGGTCATTATATTTCTTAAATTGATAGCAAACAAAGAAGCCAAAAATAGAATTGTAACTATGAATGTAAGTTAACATTTAGTTCAATCCAATATTTGAAGTACAGTGTAACATTAATATCAACACCAATATTTAGTGGTAACTTTACATTGACTTCTGTTTAAGATAAGTTAGACTTACTCGCTATGAAGGATGATAGGCAAACCTGCATCAATTTTGAGATAGAGTCTAATAAATTTGGTAACAAATTCCATGACTGAATTAACAGCACCGGAGTTAGGTTCAGTAGGCCAACTTTTAAAGCGAAAATGATACACCAATCGCGTCTGCGTCCCCAAATTCTTTTATTAATCAAGAACTTGAGTTATTATCATATCACATACTAATGATAATGTAAGTAAGTCTTTTGCATATGTTTAACAAATAAATTAATCTCGTTTGTACTTTATCATAGTTAGCATACTCCTCCATTTATCGCTATTACTACAACTACCGTATGAAAACGATGGATCTAGCTATATTGCAATATCCTAGTGGCATATACAAAAATTGGCTACTCGATTACAATTGCGTCTAGGAAATAAAATTACTATGAAACTATAAACCCTTGAAGTAGATTTTACTAATGTATTAATACCAGCACCTTAAGCAATAAGGCAACGTAGTAAAATGAAAACCATAGAGAGTAAACAATACTAATATTACAAATTTTTAGCCATCTTTTAAAGATTTATAATGTTATTTTACCTCATTATGACAGGTTATCTTATATTTTTGTTGAAAAAATGTAGCATATTGGGTAGTTTCTATATAGTCAATATGATAATCATCATGGACGATAGGAATATCTTCTTCTGCCCAGTATTTAATACACTGTTATTGGATAATAAACCGATTAATCTTTATCAGAAAAGATAATCTTATTAATTTAATAATTTAACGAATTATGGTCATATAGTAAAATAAATCTAATTCTACTCAACGAAAAATATTAATACTAATTTAAATGAATTTAACTCTAAAAACATGTAAACGTGAGTAATAGACTTTATATCATACTCGTAAGTGCTAAATTGGCGATATCAACTACAAGATGTTTCAAAGTGCAGCATAAATATGAAATAAAACGGTTAACAGGCATATATAATATAAGGATTTATAAGCAAAAGGGAACATCGTAATCTTCTTACTGAATTAGTTTAAATTTTAAAATAATTATTATCATACAGATAAGCTGTGATAGAAAATTTATTAATGATTTACGTAAATGGTATAACCTGCTAACTGTTACATCTTTACTATACCTCCGTCCTATCAGACAGCATAATTATAAATTCAACTTTTTGCTCCCATACTAATGTCCAAAAGTCTTCGATAGTATTTTCAAGTGGATTTTGAGTTAGGATAAACCGATTGACTTTTTTATAGCTCTATTTAGGACGCAATCAATGAATAAATAGAAATTATTAAACCACCAAATTTATTTATAAATAGAACTAGAATTTATAACATACCCGGTATTCGTCATATTTTCGGATTAGTAATATAAAGCATATTATAAGTTATATTAACGTATACTCACATTTATATAACTTGCATTGATGTAATTATTGCCAAGTTTATTTTCTCTGGATTGTAATAAAACTCGGTTATGGTCGTCTAAATCAACAAGTATAATCTTTATAAACCTGGCATATATCATGGCACACTTCAAATTTTCTTGAAACATTACAATTGGCATAAATCTTTAATAATTATAATTATTGTCTTTATTATTGATTTCAAATTCTAATAACAAATATTATATAATCTAGCCCTACGAGTGCATCTTATTGTAAAAACCGAAACTTGAAAGAGAAATTAAATTACAAGCTTACTGCCAGAGTTACCCTGGACGGCATTTACTAATAGTACAACGCAAATCCTGACCATCTGTCATCAGAATATTGTAGTAGTTATACGTATGTTTTAAATTAAACGATAAGACCTAACTTTCATTAAAATCATTAACTTACAGTTATGTCATATAACTATTCATTATGTTATAAGTTATAACTAACTGTAGAGTTACTTTGTAGCACCGATGCAAAAGATCGTTTTAAAAATTAAAACTGTAGTACATAACAAAGATTATAATCGCAATTATTAGTCGTTGGGTTCTTACGCACATGGAATGATGTCTTTATATCGGTTCTTATGTACACAATTTGGAGTAGAAGCTATAAAAGTTGATGATTTTGTAATCCAAGTTCCTTTAATATTCTATAATTGAGATTTCATATATTTAGCCATTATTAGAGACTTTAAATTATACATGCCTTTATTATATGGAAAGGAATAATTATTAGTTTTCATTGTTGCAGTCAACATTATCTCTAACATAATTATTTTGAAATGGCTGTCTTAATTTAGATCGTGGGATTAAAGCATTAGTGAAAGACAGTATACCATAATAACAAATAAGATTACTGTTCGGTAAGTAAATCTGTTATTTGAAAGTTACTAACGCCTAACAAGTAAATGTTCAAAAACGTCGAGATATTCACTATACTGTCAACAAGTACGTCAATGTAAATGATAAGTCAAGAATAATTCTTAAGAATTTAAGAATGGATAAAATTCGCTAAAATATTATAAACGAAAAAGTAATAATTTTATCATTTATTTATAATAGTGGTTATGATAAAATATAATTTTATCGGTCCAATCATATACGAATAGAATAAAAGTCGGTTATTAGTACGCTTTGAACCTGCAATTCTCTCTCTAAGTGTTCTTCATTTAAGTTAGACACATAATTCGGGATGCTAGTTAGCGCAATTTCACTTTTTTCGGAACCTATTGCTTCCACAATAACATCGTAAATGAATGCATATTGCTCCTAAATTATATTGTAAATCATAGTAATAAGAACAGTTATCGGAATATTTCTTCTACGAAATAATGCAAAAATTAATATTTGAAACTGATCGCATCACAAAAAAACAATTATGCGGTTATGTCAAAATTTAACAAAGAATCAGTACTTCTGTTTGAACCATATGCTGCCGCTGGCTTCGTATATGCGCCAAGAATCCGGCTACATCAATTTTGCCGATATCTTTTAGCATTTCCAACATTGCATCTATAACAATATAGACGCCACTTCTACCTACTCCTGCACTATATATTTAAATATAGAGGTTTTGTATATATCAAGACTCACACAGTAATTTAAAAGAATTAACATTGACTGAACAGAATGATGTACAAAGGTAATGCTTATTCATTTTCTATGTTTAGAACATGTTTTACTAATAATCGGAATCACGAGCTAAAATACCTGCAGTGGCAAATTATGGGAGCTTTGGATTTCCCACAAGCTGCGTTAATTCGATTGATTAAATTGGTGATAGTGACAGTATCTGATGGAATACCAACATCAGGCCACGCAGTAAAATGAAACTGTCGAACAACTTTGAAATCAGTAGGACTTTTTGTCTAATATGGTCGGAGTAGATAAAAATTAATTTCATATTCGTGAAAAAGTAACACCTCAATAATCATTAACCTTTAGTGTGCTCAGTATTACTTGCAATTAAATTATAGTGAGAAAATTTTAATACCGAAGATATCCGAAACTGTCTTTCAACAAAAAGCGCAAAATCCTTTTGTTTATCTTTAATAACAAGAATATCATCGTAAATCGCTTCTGTGTCAGGCCAGTACTTATAACATTTTTCCTGAGTCAAATATAAATAATTGTTATCCAAATGATAGAAGTATAATATAGAATTGCCTGCTGATAAGTATTTTAAACATATTTAGTATTATCCTAATAAAGTTGCAAATATACCTTTTCACCTTCCGTTAAATTGGTTAACATAACAATACATGACGATTTTTCTTGATGAACCATTCGCCAAAAATCATTCATTGTTTCCTGTAAGGGACCTAATATGAAGGTAAATAATTCAGAAATTGTTTAAAACTTTGAATTTAAACTCTTTAACTAATAATAGCAGCTTAAGCAGGACTTATTAGCAAATATTACACCTTCACATATTGAACTGATATTACCTTGTGTAGCTATATATTTCTTTGCAGATTTATAGCCCTGTAGTCAGATCATAATCGATGCGGTAATCATTATACAAAATAAGAGTAAAGATGATAAATATTTCAATATTAACTGGCATTTTCTATAAATAAGAATAAGCTTATAAAATGGGTTCGATAATTCTCATTCTTTAACTTTCAAGTGATGTTGATCATCATCTGCACTTGTACTACTTTTAGATACGCTAGACATCATTTATTCTCTATATAGCTTGGCAATTAGATGCATTAATAAATTGATATTATATATACAGAAATATGAAATCATTAGTCTTACATCAATATAGTTTGCGTTAATATAATCCGATCGAGTTGAACCATTATCATTTTTTAAAATAACTCTTGTATGATCATCTAAAAATTAAGTATTGAAGCAGACGCAAATCTGATTATTTCACAAAATGTTTTAAATTTTATGCTAGTTATATGCTATACCTAGGTTCTAAAATCATATACTAAGTATTTCGTTCAATGTTCAGTTCAGTATTTTATGATTATTAATTATCAAGAAAAAGAAGTTCGCTGACATTACCTAGTACATGATACCATTCATGATCTAGCTGTTTAATTATTAGCTTATTCAAATTTGTTTTTAAATTTTAGTGTATAGTATAATAACAGAAAAGATAGAAATACTTAAGATATCCCAAATTATGTTTACTTAAATAAGCTTGCTTTCATTAATATTTGCCTACAATGATTGATATGCAGTGCAAATTTGATATAGATAAGTATGGTAAGAGACAGACTCTAATTAAGCATTTACTGTATGCATTGCAAAAAGAAATGGAATATAATATCATATTCATAGACTGTATTTTAAAATTCCTTTGCTAAAGTATATCTTAGGACGATTCTCAATCATATAATTTGCAGAATGATGACTATTATCAATTGCATCATACTTTCTACCGAAGTTGAATTAAATTCTTTTATGTATGAAGTTACTACGATAGACTTGGGCACCTTTATTTACCCGATTTTGCTAAATTAAGACGTAACTTCAATGCAATAGCTATTATTTACGTTGTTACTTCTTTGTTAACTTACATGCTAAGATATTCTGATATCTGTTTTTTGATTCATTTTGTGTACCGCTTTCAACAGAATATATACGACATGGCCTTCTGTCCTATTAATGAAGTTGATAAAAATTTAAACACAAAAGTTGATTTTTAAATATTTTCGTCCTCATCATAAATGCGGTCTTATATGTATTTAAGGAAATTCAGACAATCCTTAATTTATTACCTCAAACTCTTCAGTAAATCCATTACTGTCTTGCATCTTACGGGTAAGCATTTCGATATCAGCTATCGCTATGGGATGAATTGGATCAAAACAAGTTTCTATAATATAAAGGAATAAGACGAAGAGGTAGTAAATAATGAACAGCTTGGTATCCAAAATTTAATAGCTAGTATGTATATAAAGCTTTCAATACCATAACCATGGTTAAAAATAGAGACTCAATATTAATGGCAGTTTCGTATTTTAAAATAATAAATGGAAAATAATCAATTCCAGTCATCATTAGTTAAACTAACAAGATAGTTTTTCTACAATTCCTACTCAAGAAATAAAAGTTCAACAGGATTGAATTTATTGACAAAATGCTGTCACTTTTAAAAGTTTGTTGAGGTTGATAAAATTAACTGCACTTAAAACTACAAAAAATATATTTTATCTACAATATTCGAATTTAAATCTATTAAATTTGTAATTACAATATATTGGTACATAAAATACTTTCAAGATAGGAAAATAAAGCATTCCTGTACTATTATGACTGAAACAGATTTAAATCTTATATATCCTTACCTTCGAGTTTCGTACCATTTGAAGTTGATGTTGGAAGTCTACGCATGGCAGTTATATCCAAGTCTCCGCTTATATTGCTATTTACTGTAATATTAGTGCAACGGCTTTTACCAGAGGTACTCGCATTGATAGACCTTTTAAATAGATTCGGACGCGTCCTCCTATGTATTATACCATTAATTAAAGTAATTAAACAAATGGAGTAGACGTTGTTCGTAAGTTAATGTCGGCTTATTAAAACACTTATAAGTATGAAATTATCTATCGAGTGGTAAATGAATTCTGAAGAGGAAAAATTGTAGACTAGCAATGATGCTCGTGTTAATCAGCTTGTATTCTTAGTGAAATTACCTTATACAGAAGAGAATTACGATAAGCAAACATAGGAATCCAACAACAGAGAATAGGATTATTATTACTTGAAAAACTTGATCAGGATTTTTGGTATTAACTGTTGAAAGACCACAGATTGAAGATAAACAGGCTAATTAGCTGAATACTTCTAAAATCATAACGATCACATTATGGACATTATTAGTTAACATTGTTCTTGTGTTAGATTTCCGTTGCTGCTACACGAATTACCTTTCTTATGCAATACAGTAGACAAAATATCTACATAGTACTATATTGTACAGTGAGTGCACATCGTAGGATAAATGGTGGGATAGTTTATACACGAAATTTTACGAGATTAACAACTATCACAAATTAAAATCTGTGGAGCATCAGAACTTTGTTATCATCATTATCATAGGGAATATGGAACCGTAAAATATCAAGAAAAAATTTCCAGTATACTTTGGTGAAGCAAGTCGCTATACTCAATTTAAAATGATGGGTTGTTATTCTGTCGAATAAATGGATAGAAAATAATCTTTCAGAACATATAGCTATAAAATAGATAGGATAAAGGTTATAATACTGGTAATAATTTGTTTTGTAATTTTAAATTAATTAAATAAATGTAATGATTTTGACTTCATAATGCAACGGTAGTCCTAAAACAGAAAGATCTATATTATGGCAAAGAAGCTCATGAAAGTATGTCCCTTGTTACCAATATATTTTTATTAGCCACGCTCACTTATATTGGTCTCAAATTTTATGACCTTCAACAATCGATAGAGTCGAAAATGATTACAATTTCCAATTAAAATAGCAATTATTATTCTCTACTTTACATCAAAATTATTTATGGAGCATTCGCATTTTTATCCGTTTGTGATGACATGGATCAAATTTCCGAAAATTAAAAAATTAAGGATTCACTCGTTTTATGTGCGTACTATATAGAAACATTTTATTTTTAACCTTAGCCGAACAGAACCAGTCAAGAACTGAGAAAGAACTGCTAAATTCTCTAATGCGAACTATTTAGGTGCCTTTCCTAGTATCTATACTGCTAGTTCTACCCTACTTTACAAGTACACGGATTGTAACAGAGCATCTTTACATGCTGAGGTTTATAGTTTGTATGATACTAGACTCAACATGGCTAATAATACTCTACAATTCAATCTTTAACTATGTTACACTATCATACTATAATATAATTCTAACGAACAGCAACTTTACCTATATTTTACCAGGTTTAAAATTAGTATATCGTACGGGTGTATGGATCTTTATTGCAGCACCGTAATAATGCATGCATTTTAAGCACTACACATTACGCATTGGATGTTATTTGATATCATCATAAATACCGAACTGATTACCATATAAGCAACTTTGAATTAGGCTTATCTCGTCTATACAGTATCACGTTATTACAGTATATAAATTTCAGCGAGAAAGTTAAAATCAAACGATATCAAGAGCCAACTGAACTGATGGAACGATCACATAAGAAATGTTAGCAGTGTCAGTATCTACGCAAGATATGCATTTAAGCGGGTAAAATTACGAGACAAGGCACCATTGCCCATTGGCCTGATCTTCAACGATTTTCCTAGTTTCTTTCCTTTATCGTGGAGATCAGGCCAATGAGCAATCGTGTCCTGTCGTCTTGTAATCTTACCACATTTAAGCCGATCCAATTTTAATATAATATAAAACAGCATTGACTATGGCCTGCCCGTTCAATAAAAATACTACAGTATAAATTTAACGCAAACGTGTATACGTGTAAATTATGTTTATTGATTTCAGTAACTCAGTTATGCTCATATGTCTTTCCGATTATTCTTTCTAATTGATACAACTGTCATGTCTTTATCTTGCAATTCTAAAAGTGGGATCTTATTTTTATATCGTCTAGTCTTGTTTATGCGCACATTTTTTTAATCACTACCATTTCAATACTAAAAGTAGCAAAAGAAATAGAGAAAATGTTTCACACTACACGTACAATGTCTCAACTTTTCATAAGGATAGACATTGATCAACGTGTTATTCGATATTTTACTTTGATCCAATTAGGGAACATGTATCAAATAAAATTCGAGATTTATACTTATAGGCGGATCTCAAATGTAAAGCAAAATAATAAAATTGGTATTAATTTATTATAAAATATTTGCAAACTTCGATAGAATGATTCCTGAATGAAGTAACAATTCCAATCAGATTTTTATTTTCTCATTTACGTACATAATTCTTAAAGTACTAGTAAGCCGTTGAACTTTTGTTTAAGAGAGCCTGCAATTATACACGTAATCGAAATCAATTCGAATAATCTGTACCGTATTTTAGATGTTAGTGTAGTTGATTGCTACTATAATACACGGATAATTTTCCATGTTATACTGCCTTAACCAAGTCGAACAATTAAATAGATATCGATATCGATAGTAATTAAATTTCGTTAGGACTTAGCTAACGATATTTTTACCGTTAAGATTAAGTGAAATGGCAGGGACACTAATTGTTGTCATTTCATTTTTATTTACTAGTTGTTAACCAGTGACTATATCTGTATATCGGAGAAATTTAATTATGTATCTTAATAGTTTAATACGAATTAATGAAGATCAGTCATCCAAACTTTTTTATGGAGATATTAAAAGTAGGAAAAGACCTTTTTAATTCATTAGGACTCAACTACTAAGGTTACATTGTTGAGATCGAGTGAAATCGCAAGGACACTAATTGTTATTATTTCATTTTTATTCAATACCTGTCAACTCGCGACTATATCTGTATATTGGAGAAACTTAGCTAAATATCCTAATAGTTTAGTAGATACTAATGAAGATCGGCCATCCAACTTTTTATTGGGATATTTAAAAGAAGGAAAAGACCTGATTAATTTCGTTAGCATGCAGCACTGAGATTCTACCGCTGAGATTGAGTGAAATGGGCAGAGATTCTAATTACTATTAATTCATCTTTATTTGCTAGTTGTCAACTTATGACCATATCTGCATATCGGAGAAAGTTAATTAAGTATCTTAGTAGTTTAGTACATACTAATGAAGATCAGTCGTCAAATTATTTTTGGGGGGAATAAAAAAGCAGAAAAGAGCTGTATTAATTGAATTTGTTGTAACTAATCACAATAGAGTGAAGATTGCTTGGCTACTCTAGGCGTATACCGAATTTAAGTAGCATTGAATTACTGATACGGATTCTATTCAGACTAAGAACTTTAAAGAGGTTAAGCTGTGTAGACTTTAAGAGTTTCTCATATAATAAATTTGCGATTTATTTCCTAAATGAATTTGTCCTCTCTATTTACAACTCTACTTAGTATGATTAACAATCGATGTGTATATCATCATATTTTGAAATTTATAGAATCTCGGACAATTGGCGAAAAAACGTCATAATTGACGATTTGACCATTTGTATCTATGTTATGGACTAAAAAATGCTTAAACTGCAATGCATACTGTAGGGACAATTAAGGTAATGAATTAATTTTGTAATGGAGTTACTTCCGCGTTTCAATTTCAATTTACTCTACTCATCTCTGTAATAAACGTCTTCCGCTTACGTTTATTAAACTTTCTATATTCTTTTAATAGTATAATTTTAACTATTATTCATTTAATATGTGGCAACCGATCAAAAAACGTCCCCAAAAATTCAAATTTGAAATTTAATCCCTTTGGTCTTTATCTGCTTTATTCCACCTAATTTGTTAATTATACTTAAAGAATATTGCTTGCCAAATTGTTTGTTAGTATATCAAGTATATCGTATTGTTAAAATCTGGTCTTTTCACGAATAGTGTCACAAATTAATTTCACTTGCTATGCCAGATGCCTAATTTCTATGCCGGCTTAATTATTCCAAAACTATATAATAAACCTTCTGCCGTAACCGTCTTCTTTCTAGTTAAAATGGAAATTATTTCTTCTAACCAGGGATAGTTTTAGATAATGGAGTGAGAATTACTATCTATCACGATACTGTTAGTATCGTCAAATCTAAATGTTGTAATTCAACATTTTAAATGCACTTAACTAAAGGTACGTCTCGACATAGGACATTCATGTAGTTAGGACATCCATATGTATGTAGACATTATTATTGATATATTTTGATAACGTAATGTGGCTGCGTGTTTAATTCTATTACCCCGAAACATTATTTTAGACAAGAGAAATGGAAAAATTAGGATAAAAATTGTGTAGCAACTTGTCCGTATACTTACTAGAGTTATAAATTCTAAGTTAGGAAGAGCAATGACGAAAATAACTTGTTTTTGTAAACAATCTTTTCTATCTAACTGGAATCCTTTCGTGTAATAAAAAGTCCCTGTAGTTCAAGAAGAATAGTCCTAGCTGTGGCTTTTTACCTTATATCTATCTAATTAACTACCGGTCCTTTCTTGTTTCAACTCTGTATAGCGGCATTCTCGTACGCATGTTAAGGGGCACAGGCATATTTTATATCTACGTATATACGATTTTAAGAGGCTAAATTGTTTTTAATCAACTTTCTGAATTATGACTTCAAGTGTGGTACTAATACAGGATAGCACCTTTGCCAACGAAAGATATTACTGCAGTCGGAGAAAGAAAGGTAATTTATCCATATTTAAATTTCAGAAATGATCTATCGTAATACGATAGCAAAATTAACTACCTGGTATTAAATTGCGATGATTATTCGCCTAGGCGTTAATATCTCCTTCTAATTAATTTACAAAAGAGCTTCAATAAATTACTCACGGCCTAATCTGTTAATTACTTTATTTAGGCCAGGGTCGGTAAGGAAATGGAGCAATCCTTGAGAGAATATTATCAGTCTGTAACAATTCTAGCTCTTGCAGCGAAAGATAACTTCAATTCCATCTCGCTAATTTTATGAAATATCTTATTCTCTGCATGTGTGATATTTGCTAAATTAGAAAACACGTCAGATTTTCTATATTATACTACAGTATTGAACATGATCTTGTAATATCTGACAATAGATTACTCTAGTATTGTTACAAAATGTTAAGGGACTGAAATTTTAACAGATATTATTTTATTGGTTAATCCGATCGTTTGTCAATTTTATGAATTACTTGCAGCAATAAAATAGAGTAAGTTATGCTTTACATCAACTTTCTAACAAAATTTGATGCACAGAAGTACAATTTGATATTTCTTGAAATATCTATTTGAATTTGAATTACCACCAGTAATAACAGCTAGAATTTTTTTAAATGCTCTGTTGAGATTATTAAGCAAAGCCAGATTAGATATTTCTTGTAGTTCCTCGTATTCTAATTTTGAGATTAATTTTAGTAGTACTATAGGAATTTTCCTTTGGAAG